CGGCAAAACCTGCGCAGGTAATTGGCGGCGAGCGCTGCGTCTCCGCGGGAGCAGGGAGGAGGTGTGGTGGATCTCTGCCAGGGCAGCCGGCAGGAGAGATGATGCTCGAGGAAACACCTTCCCATCCCCTGCCCTTCTTCTGCAAGTTTTAATTAGTGCTGTCCTCTGGCGCTTCCTCAGCCGCTGCTCCGGCTTGCCTTGCTCTGCGTGCTTGCTGGGATTATTAATTACCGAGGGGAAGGAGTTCTGCCTCCCAAATGGAAGATGACACTTCGGTGCATCACCAGGTGCCGTATCTCATTGTGTCCACCCCAAGCATCACTTGCCTGACTTTTTTCCCTTCCCTTCCCTTCCCTTCCTCAGCTGGTGTCGGAGAAGAGGATCGGCTCTGTCCGGGAGCGGTAGCACTGCCGTTCTGAAGCGCTTCATGTGCAAACTCCACTTTGCATTATGGAATTTGCTGTATTTCCATCAGATTTTCTCAGTGATGAGATTGCACTTCTGGCTGTGAGAAGTCTCACTTAGGAAGTGAAAGCAATAGAGTTAGATTTGTTTTTATTTCAAAGTTCCTTCATGTTTTAAATGGTTTTATGATGTGATTTTTTTTTTTTTCGTTTTTGTTTACAGCCTTTGCTATGCAAACTGTATCTCATTCTGATTTAGACTTGCTGTCACTATGCCATTAAAATTTTAAAGAATAGCCAAGAAGAGGAGGGAAAAAAAGAAAGGAGAAAAAAAAGAAAAGAGCAAACATCACAGAGCAGTATAGTAAGTCATGAAGAGAAGCAGAGAGAGGGAGCTCCGGTGAACGTGAGAGGCGTTACAGACAAGAAGAGTCTTGCAGCACAAAAAGCCAAGTGCAGGCGAGAGGAAGGAGCAGTGGAGGAGGGAAGCACCGAGGTCTGCAAGGGCAGCTGGTGCTGGAGCTTAAAAAGCAAAAGAAAAGCAGGTCAGGGAGGCGGATTTGGACCCCGAGCCCCGCAGCAGTGGGCTGGGTTACGCAGTCTGGTTTGTGTAGGGATGAGAGGAGGCAGAGCAGCCTCCTGCCCACGGCCCGGCTCCATGACCTGCTGATGGAGATTTCAGAGGGAAGTGGTTACTCTGACCATAGCGAGGGAAGCGAGAGCCCAGGGGAAGGGTTTGTCAAGGCTGAGGACATGAGTAGCTGCTCTTAACAGCAAAAATCTCCTGTTTGTTGGATGCACATTTCACATTCCTAGACAGACAAGGTGCTGTTGCTAGACCCCAGAGCAAGACATGGTCTGACGTACCGCAGAGGAGCTCGGCTTGTGACATTTCTGGAAAACGCTCTGTGTCCAAATAACCTGCATTAATCATTTTCGTGCTGACCCCCTCACCTCGATTGATTAATTACATTTTCTTTCTCCTCTTTCTCCTGCCGGTGTTTCCTAATAACGTTGGTACTCCTTCCAAGGTTAATTGAGACACTGACCTTTCCCATCCGCGGCTGCTCGCCGGGGTAACGTTCAAAAGCATTTTGCAGACTCAGCGTTGACAAGGTGGCCCTGGAACGGCCACCAACCTGCTCGGCAGGCTGCAAGGGCTGACATCAGCTGGGAGCCTGCAGGGAAAAGATGACAGCTAGATTCTCGTATCTAATCACCGGAACGGTGGTGTCGATGATACCAATTTCCGGATGGACACAGGGCAGGAGAAGGCAACGGGCAATTAGTTGTCAAAAAACTACAATTGCACCTAGCAGGCTGCTGATGCTCAGCAAACACTTTGTTTCGCTGGTGTTTTGCATGGAAAAAGGTTGAAGGTACAAAAGTGCAAACGGTTAAATATAGATTCCTGTTAAATAGATGATATCTGTGGGCTGGTGAGACCCGGTTGTTGTCTGTTTTGTCAATCACCTCGTGGTAGCTAAGACTTGCAGAAAACATTCCTCTCCCTGGAAATGGGAAAGACGACAGTGGCTGTCTTCTAACTTCTCCCACAGAAGAGAAGTTGTGGTGGGTGCTGTGGGAGAAGTTAGAAGACAGCCACTGTCAGGATTCAATGTTTTATGAAAAAAGCATAGTTGCTGCTGAGCAAAACTGCAGCAGCAGCTCAGAGCGTGTCCAAGGGCTGAACGAGCTGCCCCTTCCTTGCAGAGCTGGACGAGTGCGAGAGCGGAGAGTCCTGCTGCTCCCAGTTCTGCATCAACTACGCGGGCGGCTACGAGTGCGCCTGCAAAGCGGGATTCCAGCTGAACGCCGACGGCTGCGCCTGCGACGGTGAGTCCTGTGGTACCGGTGGCTTGGTCTAAGCACAACACTGAGTAGAAGACATGCTGTCAAAGCTCATCCTAGGGCTTTGGGGACATTTCCCCAATAAGAGAATTGGTGACTGTATGCCGGCTGTGCTGGTAAGGTTTTGCAAATGTATAATTTCCACTTTGTGAGACTGGAATACAGTAATAATCCAGCGTGGGCAAGTGGGGCTGTGGGAGACGAGCCAGCAGAGAGGAAATTTTCCTCCTCTCTCCATGGATGCTGTATATTGCTGTGTGTTAAAGACTACTTCTACAAAAGGAGAGCCCTCAAAATAACCGAGGGATCAACTGAGCTTAACAGCTTAAAGCAGCTGTTTTTCACTTCAGACAAAAACATGGGTGAAATAATCTGTTCCGTGGTGCCCTGAAATGTTTTAATATCTTCAATACTGGTGAGAAATGGAGAGCCCCAAAGTACTGAGAAAATCAGGTTTTCTTATGCGCAGAGTAATTTTTCAGATGCAGCTAAGGCACAAAGTGCACTCTCCAAGCAGAGGTACTTGTACCTAATCAGCATTGATATCTCTGTCTTCTAGACGTGGATGAATGTCGTCTTGATAACGGCAACTGCGACCATTTCTGCGTTAATTCTCTGGGGTCGTACGAATGTGCCTGTAAGGAGGGTTACAGGCTCGGCGTTAACAGATGGTCCTGCATCGGTGAGTTATTTTTACATCCTGAAGGCCATTAAAGTGTTTCCCACGGATTTAAAATGTGAATTCAACTGGGATTTTCACAGATTCTGGGAGCCCAACTTTGAGCCATCTCTGTGCATGTCGCCAGAGTAGAGCTACGTGCAACATGTGGTTCCCAAGTTCATCCTCAAGTAATGGGTTTTGCCGAAGATTAATGGGAGATGAACACTTAAATCCTCCGGACATGTTTGAAAACCTAAACCTCATGCTTTAGAAAAAAAATATTATTTTGACAGTTTTCTTGCACCTTTTGATGGAGTTTAACATCCAGTGGAAAAAAGGTAGCCAGATTCTGCTCTGATGAAGTGAGGCAAGTTTTCCACTGAAGTCAGTGGTGTGTTTCTGGATTTCTGCCAGTGTAACCAGTACAGAGGTTAGCCTAGCAACTTAATTTTATAACCAAGTTTAGCACCTGCTAAACCTTGGGCAGAGTTTGATACTTTAACCAACTCCAAAAAGAAAGCCAACTGATTTCCCATCATTTTCAGGCTCAAATTTTAGTTTTTCTTAAAATAAATTGGACAGCCAGCCTCACTTTATATTTGTCGTCTCCAAAATGACCTAAAGTAATGACATTCATTAACTAAAAATAATCTCAAACTTCGAGTGAGGAACATTAAACTTCCCATTTAATTTTTTTTTTTTGACTCTCCAGGACCAGAGTTTATTTTTAGAAGAAAGGAAAAGGAAAGATTTTTTTTTTAATTATTTTTTTCCTCTATTTTCTGTTATTTGGATAGCAGAAACTCTGTTTATAAATACATATCCTTTGAGGTCCCTTCCAATCCCTAACATTCTGTGATTCTGTGATTCTTTGATGAGAAGATGAATCAGCTGTGACTGCTGTGCAAGACTGCACATGGGTGTAGCTGGAAAATCTACCAGCACAATAAAAAAAAAAAAAATGTAAATGAGGAAAGCATCGTGGAGGAAGACTCAGGGCCAGGTCCTGATGGCACGTGTTTGTGTGTGTCAGCCCTAGGTGGGGAGGAGACGGATGTGGAGGAGGCAGCGGGGTTCGCCGGGACCTCGGGGCTGCAGTTCAGAGGTCCCCCCCAGCTCCTTCGCTACGTGCTCGGTTCGCTCTACGAGGATGCAGACCCACGAGGAGAGCTCACCCTGGTGCACAGGGTCGGTGAGTGAACAAGTGTGGCTTTCAGCCATCACTGGGAAGGAGGGGATAGTCTTGGAAAGAAGATTTGGGGCGAGAATGAAGCTAGACTGGTTGAGGCTTAAGCCATTGGGAGGAGCAGAGGAGGGATGAGCATTAATCCTGCTTTCCGCCTGTCCTCCGTGCCAGTGTGGAGGAGGCATTGCCATGTGTCCCATCCCAAATGGGACATGTTTGGGGAACAGGAAGGCTCCCCTTGCCTGGATGCAGCAAGGAGGGATGTGGAGGGAGGCATGGGAAAAGCGAGCAGCACAGTGAGCAAAGGATGGGAGGCTTCTTGGAAAAACAGGGTGTCTGCAGAGAGTCCCAGAGGCAACAGACAAAGATCCTGTGCGTGCCGGGAGCAAGAGGACTGCGTGGGTTCCTGCAATGCACAAAATCCACCCAAGCTGCTCTACTGAGAACGAGCCCTTGGGAAACCATCCCTTTCTCCTAAGAGCAAGGAAAGGGGAGTGTGGGGGCATGTGTGCCTGTTTACAAGCTCTTTTATAATAATTGGAGGAGGTTTGGCTTAAGAAATTTGCATTCTTGTTTGTGGAAAAAAAACAAACCTCTGGAGATTCCCATTCCTTTTGATGCTTTGAGCATATTCTCTGGGAAAAGCACAGACCCATCCACATAGAGGCCAGGCTGGCCAAGGGCTTGGCACAACTGGTGTGGCAAACAGAGCACATGTGGTCACAGGAATGGGTGCAAAGCAGTTTTGCACCACATCTGCACTTTGCATGGCTTCAGTCTTTCCACCTGAAGGTAGAAACTTCACCACTTGAAGAGTATTATGAGTTGAAAACCTCTGCTTTCTTTCTGATGAGTGCAGTTAAATGCTGGTGGGTCACCAGGGAGGAATGAGATTTCCTATTTTTGTTATATATGTCCTGTGATTTTTATATGAGCTTTAATTACTCATCTGAGGACTGTGCCCTACAGGCAAAAATCAGGAACTGGTCTTGGCTTTAATAAAAAATTAACTTATTTTTATGAGCAAAATTGTTTAGACCTCCCAAATCACATAGCATCCAGCCAGACTCAACAACACTGATAACCAATTGGGAAACTGATAAATGAGATAACCACAGGCAAAATTATCAGGCCTAGAAACCACAATCAAATATTTATTGACCAGTTTTTGCATGTTTTATTTATGTTCAGCCACATAAATTTGGGTGTTATCAGTCATAGCTGAGCACTTTTTCTAAAGGTGAGGCTTCACAGCATGTGAGGATTTGTAGGAAATGTAATGGAGGAATGAAACTTTTAATGGTTTAGTAAGCTCTTTTACCTCCCAAATATTAACTTATTCCATATACTTTTGACATATTTTTGTGCTTTTATCTATAATATTAAAAAAATCACTTTAAACAATAAGCTGCTGCAAGTCATTACCTTTTTTTCTATAGATTGAATGACTGTGTAATGTAGAAGCGTGACATTTTTAATGGTAATCTGTATTCTTCTCCTGAAGTATGAATTTTTTAACCTGTTCCAACTGGGAGCACTGGGATTCTGAATGTCCCTGAAAGCTTGGGCATTTGTTCAGCTTGAGAAAAAGGAACAGTTGGGTGCTGAGACCTAGAGGAAATCTGGCCTCAACATAGAGAATTGCTGGTGAAAAGCACCCAGCCTGCTGACTTACTGTTAGCTGAAATAATCTGCCAGCTCGCTTTCAGGTGGTGTTCAAAATCCCCTTCCAAAAAGCCTCCAGCCACAGCCAGAAAGCCTCGAAGGCAATAAACTGACCATGTGGATAGGATCTTAATGTCACTGAGATATTTTAGCAGAGAGTAACATTTCTTTTCAATGCCTTTCTCAATAGACCCCACGAAGAGAGACCATGAGGGTGCACGTACGTGCAGTTGTACTTGAGTGCAAGGGAGAAGGGGAGGATGGGGAAGGTGAGGGAGGAATGCGTTCTCATATTAAGTTTCTCATATAAACTAAACCTTCTTTTCATATTCATGAAGAAGAAAGGGAGTGATAACTGCATGTTATGCTTTGTTTTCTTAGAATAGCACTTGAACTATGCTGTTAAGAATATCACTTGACTGTACTTAAATAGTACTGCGTACGCCTCCTGCAACAGAATAACAAAAAGAAAAGGAAGGAAAAGATTCTCTCCCAAGGAATACTTTTGATTATGTACAGTATTATCAAGCATTCAGTGCAAACCTACTTTTTCCAAAGTGGCAAAATATTTGCTCTTAAAAGGCAGTTTGAAGTGCTTTTCGATGGGGAATTACAGCAGTTAAGGGAATAAATTCCAGCTAAAATCCCAGCTTTCCTTTTATTTAGATTCTAAAATTTGAAGAGGAAAATTTGGGAATTTCCATTTGGGACTGTATTTTGGAACGACTCGGTCATATTTACAACACTACCAATATTAACGCTAACAACGTGGATACTTTTTTTTTTTAGACTGTCAGTGTTGTGCAGGTTCCTTTTTACACTTGCAGTTTTGGAACAATAGGTAAGAGCTTGTGGAAGTGTTTGGCTTGGGTGTTTATTAAACCTTCTGTATTTTTTTTGATTTCAGTTTGCCTTGATAACACTTTTGGCAGTGACTGTAGCTTGAGCTGTGAGGATTGTCTGAACGGAGGCAGATGTAACGGTGAACGCAGTGGCTGCGTTTGCTCACCGGGGTGGACCGGCGTCATCTGTAACGAAAGTGAGTACAGCGTGTGTGAGAGGTGGGGACTTTGTCCTCCTGCTGTGACGCCCCAGGTAGGTAGGAAATAGAAATAACCTGTTGGACTTTTAATCTGTAAAGCTCTCTAAGGAGCACAGCTGTCTCATAGGCAGATCAAAATTTTATTGTAATATGATATGTGAAACAGAAAGTGGAAGGGATGCTGTAGGAGCTCTCAAACAGCGAAGTCCCTGCCCTCCGGTGCGGTACAGTGCAGTACCGCTCCTAAGCGTTTTGTTGGTGTTCCTTCCTATCCACTCTGCTGCTAAAAAGTGCCAGAGTTTGCCTGCCATGCTTCGTTCCACAACTTGCCTCGCTGACTTTCAGAAGTCTGTCCTGGCAGGTGGTGTGACAATCTGGATGGACATGTACACTAAACTTGATTTTTTTCCATTGTAGCATCCCAAGACTTTGCGTTTTTTTTTTTTTTTTTCTTATGCTGGTAAACTCGAACCTGGATTTTTGCTTTCCCTTATCTTGGGATGGTTAAATTTTAATATTGGAAATTGTATTTTTCAGAATTCTCTTACCAAGTCAGCCAGTGCCCTTTGTAATAACTTTTTACTCTCCTTATTCCTGCTTCCTGGCAGAAGATCTTTCTGATTCAGAAGTATTTGTCAAAACCAACTGGAAAGAGTGGTGATTTCTTGATGTACCGCACACCGTTCTTCATCTGCAGTTTGGCAAAACTTGTCTGTTGCAGGTCTCCTGCGTGTTTGGGTTGAATCCCTCTATTTCTGGGTGTATGGTATGATGGCCCATCATACTCAAAGTCTGTGCTGTCACTGATTAGACAAAGAGACAATAAAGAATTATTACTTAGCATCAGTAGACAGCAATCTTCAGGTTAATCACCATCAAGATTGTTTAGGAGGCATCATCACAAGGACAGAAATATGGAAAAAACAACAAATGGTTGAAATCAACAGTCTGCCTGTAGTTATTTTGGGAGACTGATTGTGGTTTTGGCTTGTAAACACAGGGGACAGATGAGAGAATAGGAAATAGGAGGATTAAAACAGTATTTCTAATCTACCTAAGACAATTCGACTTAGGATATTCTTCTTCTATTCATGATGTTCTAGTGGTTCAGGATAGATTATAAAAATTTCAAGACAGGATACAAATTCTTTAGTTCACTTCATAAATAAAAATAACATTTTTGCTCTGTATTTACAGTAGATATCCATGTGTATAATCTGGTGGAATTCACCTCTGGAATTTAAGGAACTTTAATGGGACTGTGTTATTGAGCCAAACGTGCCATCCAATGAAGTAGGCATTGACAATGATAAATATGATATGTAATCTGTATGAATTAGCCCTATGTGAGTGCTTTCACTGTTTTCTCTCACATTCTTAATATACAGCATAGTTCATGGGTTTAGGATAAGCTAAACAGTTGAGAAAACTGGAACTAAATTTCTGTAATAACGCACCAAAGAAACCAAATGGAAGTTGATGTGAAATGTCAAGTTTCTTAATGTACATTGATAAAATGTCAGTTAAATCAGATGACGCCAGCAACTGTATTTACTCGGCTAACTCAGGCTGCAAACAGTGGAGCACGGCTTCATTTCACAATTTGTTTTGCACTGGAGCGATGAGGGTTTTAGGAAGGAATTCCATGCTGATACAGATCCATTTCTGCCATGATCATCTGGGGAATTTCAGAGAGTATGTTAGAAAAACACGATGTTATTTTTATAATAGTATTTGGGAGAAAAAAAATAATGTTTAAAATAACTTATCTCCAAATATTCAGAATTGTGCTCTGATTTTTAAGCTTTATACTTTATAGGCAGTGTTTCTGAGTCCCATGCATTGCTTGGAGGGACTATGTGCGGGGGAGAACTTGGATACATCACATAGTACTTCACATAAGTAAGCTTGGTTAATTCCAGTGTCTTTATAAAATTATCTAGTAAATATTAGATGGATGTGCATTACCTTATATAAAAAGAACACAATTTTGTTTAGAGCCCACGTGACTAAAGAGACTCTTTCCTCTCTCAGTTTCGGTGACTGGAGTCTTTATTTTGTTTCGTTTCTAGCAGAAGGAAAGGATTTCTTGGCCCATTCATCTTCCCTGCTTTCTCCGCAGCTTGCTCCCCGGGGACGTACGGCAGAGGCTGTGCCAGCATTTGCAAGTGCCAGAATGGAGGGTCCTGCGACCCCGTCACGGGGCAGTGCCGCTGCCCGCCCGGCGTGCGCGGCGAGCTCTGCGAAGACGGTACGGCTCCCCTTCTCCTGCCGGGTGTAGGGTGTGCCTGGAACCTCACCGCTTCTTTCCCCTTGTTTCTGTCTAGATCTAATCGCGCGTGGCACATCTCAGGAGCTCGTATGAGAATGTTCTCCCTTTACTAACACCCTGTGGCTTGCCTTGATGTGGCTTTTGTTTAAATAACAGGCAAGACAAAGGTTGAGGGAAAGCGAGAGCCTTGTAAGGATGGGCTGCGTGGAGCCCCAGGTCAGCGACAAAGTCAGCGTGGTCTTTTCTGTAGCGCCAGCTGAAAGAGAGCTGGTTTGGTGCTCATGTTTCAACACTGAAGAGCTGATGTCCTGTTGTGTTTGTGCCCTCAAAAGGCTGCCCGAAAGGATTCTTTGGGAAGAACTGTAACAAACCGTGCAACTGCGCCAACAACGGCCATTGCCACCGACTCTACGGAGCCTGTCTGTGTGACCCCGGGCTCTACGGGCGCTTCTGCCATCTTAGTAAGTCTCCGTAATTTTTCACATCTGTTTATTTAACACAATTAACGGTCTTAAAAACATTCCACGTTTGGAGGCTTTGGGTTCTGCGATGAGCTGGGAGTAGTGGGAGGACGTGACTTTTGATGCGTGCTGGGAAGCCTGAGAAACTTCATTAATCTTTTCCTCTAGCAGTTAATTTGTGCAATAAGGACTGAGATTTACTGATGCACAAAGGTGAGGATGATAGGTGGGGTTGAGTTGGGCAGTTAACACTGGGGTCCTTGGTGAGGTTAAAGTCTGGTTGGAGCTAGTTAGTCGCTGCTGGTACTTTGGAGTGGGAACTGAGGAGCAGGGCTGGCTGGGCAGGATGAGGGCAAAATGTTAAATGGAAATAAAAAGAATTGAAACAAAAATGTCACAAAATAGATGGTCAACTTTCTTTGCACTCACAGGTTTTGTTCATAAAATCTATGCAAGATTGAAAAATAGTTGTGTGATTTCTTATTTTTTTTTTCATGAAAGCTTTTCTCTTGGAGTGTACCCAAATATTTTTTTCATTCAGAAACTTAACTAAGTTGTTTGCTTGGAAACATTTCTGGTTCTTGCATTCACCACATATTGCCTGAAATGAAATGAATTACTTAATGTAGGACTCATGTAAACTATATTTTACACACCCACACATTAATAGGCACTGTCATAGGAATGTGGATGTATTTGCTGAGAGCGAAATGAATGTTTTGCAGCGGTTGCATTCTGCAGCAGTGTGCAATTTCAAATAACTCATGCATAATTACAGAGCTAATGATTCTTTTCATCTGGCTGCAGCCTGTCCCAGGTGGGCCTTCGGAGCTGGCTGCTCGGAGGAGTGTCAGTGCGTGAAAGAGCACACGCTGGAATGCAGCGCAAGGAATGGGACTTGCACCTGCAAGCCTGGTTATCACGGCAAAAAGTGTCAGAAAGGTACAACAGAAAGCCAGATTCCCTGTATTCCTTTGTCCTAGCGTTATTTCTTGTTCTTCCTCCCATTTGCTTTCTTCAGCTGCTGCTGCTACTGGTATGTTCATATTCTACTAATTATTTTGTCTGCAGTTTTTTGTACAGCAAACTCCATGAGTGCCTGATGTCGCAGGGCTTAGAGGGACATCGGGGGAACACAGCTTAAGAATGCAGGAGTTTTATCCTGATCAAATGGCAACAGAAATCTAGAATTATTATTATTATTATACCCTAAATAATGACAGCTGTGGGAGTTTTCACTTTTATTCTTTCATTTGTCCACGCGGGCAGTAAATAAGTGACAAAACCTGTGTTTCGTGGCAGCAGGATTATTTGTAAATGGTTTCAGTAACGCTACTTTTCCTTCAGATTTGCAGGTCTTTGAATTCAACTTATTCTTTGTAGTTTTTGGGGGTAGTTCAAAGTGAATAGTATTCCACATTCACGTTTGTGTGTCTGTCGTCCCCTCCGGACCGTAATGGAGTAACGCAATAAAGATTTTCCCTTCAGATCCCTCCCTGGGCAGGCAGGAACGTGTCGAGTTTATGACACTAGTTCTGAGGGGTTTCATGAAGAATAATAGTGATGATATTTAATATCTTTAGCGTTCTTGGGGATGTGCTTAGTTCTGGGGGAGAACATCCCTCACCCAGCACTGGCTTTACACCAAGGCAGAGAGCAGCAGAAGGTACAGGCAGATAAGAAGGGTAATTTGGGAATGGCTGTTATTGAATATATCCTGAAGTATTCTGCCACTCTGTTTCTGGGTTGTATTTAAGCAGTAGCTTCTTTGAAATGTCCATGCAAGTGTTTATTAAGTATTTATACTTTGTTATCAGGATGCCTAAAATGAACATTATAATAGATTTTCTGCAAATTTCTGCCGATTTCTTTTCTGCCTTTTGTTCATTTTTCTTAACTCTTCCTTTTTTTTTATACATGTTCTGTCTGTACTTGCATTTTCCAGAGTGCACACCTGGATTTTACGGGGCTGGTTGCAAACTGAGATGCAACTGTCCTCCTGATGTGTTGTGTGATCATGAGATGGGAGTCTGCAAGCATCCATGTCCACCTGGGTTTCATGGAGAAAAATGCCATTTGTGTAGGTACTCACTGCACGATTCCCTGGGAGGTACACTTTGCTGGGAAAGCTTACTCAAGAAACTTGCGTTCAGATACAGAAGTTGCAAATAAAATGGTACATTTGTTGTTGGTACAAGTTGGCAGTTCCCCACTGAAGCCAAACTGATATTTGGAGCCCGGCAACTGCTGTGTCACTCTGCTTGCAGAGGTCGAGGCTCAAGGCTGAGGCCAGTTACTAAAACTAACGTTTGTCTGGGTAACTACAGCTCCTTCTAAAGCTTCAGGCACAGATGTTCTAGAGCTCTATTGCAGTTAATTACAGACAACCGGTTGCTGAGACACTGGTGCTAACACAGATCACTTTGTACCAGCACAACTTTGTTTAAAATTCTTGTTGATGGTGTCTCCTACCGTCTTCAAAATGCTTCGTTTTACTAATTGTGCCTTTGGATTTCTTTTGACCAGCTTGCCAGCCTGGGAGCTTTGGGGTGAACTGCAGGCAGAGGTGCAGCTGTGGAGGAGCACCATGTGATACAAAGACAGGGCAGTGTCTTTGCCCAGCTGGGAAGACTGGTGCTACATGTGAGCAAGGTGTGTTTGGTGCTGGGTTAGGGTAGTGAGTGTCTTGCTCTGATGGACTCAGTAGGGGGTGGAATTATTCTCTTTCTCACCAAAACTGCTGCAATGCAATAGGCTTCATCTGCAGGATGGTTAAAGGATAAGTCTTGGTGCAGAACATATGACATATGACATCCACCACGTGGGATCGCTTGTTAAGGAGGGAGTGTGATTCGGTTACCCTGACCCATCTCTCCGCTCCAATTAATAATCGTGATTTGCATGCCGGGCTGGATTTATACAAGTTGAGCAGAGATACTGGGGGCATTGCAGCAGCTCCGAGTCCCAGAGTGGAGCTTGGAACTGTGCTGCCATATGCCACAGCGTGCCTCAGGAGCTGATGAAGGCCCTTGGCCAAAGACAGCTATTGTGGAACCAGCAAGTGAAGGACCTGGAACAGAGGGAGGAATCAAAAAGGAGAGCATTATTGTGAGTAATGAAGTAAAGGGATGAAGAAAGTCTCAGGGACACTGAACTACCAAGGGGCCACAGGATGCTCCTCTACCACTTGCAGAGCTCTTGCTGTTACGTGCTGGAGGAGCGTCTGCTCAACGCGAACCTGGACCCGTGGCCCAAGGCTGCACGGAGCAGGAACCTGGTGAAGGAGGTGGAGTTGAATGGAGACCTGGGCTCCACTTCCCATTCCTCTGGACTGGATGACCATCCTGTCGCTGACTCAGTCCACCAAAAATACCACAGTGGCCCTTCCTTCCTGCATCTGTCTGCAGATCCCATCCTCTGCAGATTTCCTTCACTGAGTGCAGTAATTAATTTTTCAGATATGTCCAAATACTTCTGATGTTACTGTATCAGAAACCAAACACACAGTGATGGAAGTTGGAAGAGAGCCTTTGGGTCTCTCTTTAGATGTGTTCTCAAGCGCTGCAGTACAGGGGTGTGTTGACTCTTTCAGAAGGTTTACTGTGAAAGCGCTGTATGTCTGTATAGAGATGATATAACAATCCCTTATCCAGCTTAGATTTGCTATATTATTTTTAAATTGCTCAAGGTAGCTACAGAAGTCTATAATTGCCTTGAAACAGGAAATGGCATTGGGAGCATCTTGTGGGCTTTTTTTCCTAGATTGCCCAGCTGGCTGGTGGGGAGCAGACTGCCAGTCCTCCTGCGAGCCCTGCTCCAACGGGGGCCAGTGCAACAGAGAAACTGGAGCCTGCGACTGTCCCCCTGGCTACACTGGGACGTCCTGCTCTGCACGTAAGTCCTCACATTGACCTTCTCCCTGAACAGAAAGTCAGTTTTATTTTTACCTTCTTGCAATTTTGTGAGATGTTTGTTACATTAGACGCGCTGATCCAAGAACAAGTATCCTTCAGCTTCAGGAATTCTCCAGGTTGTATTTGACAGGAGGAGATTACAGATAAAGGCAGATGACAAGCTAAACCATCAGAAATGGATGTTATTGTTAGACCTAATTTATGGCAATATATACTTAGAAATACAACGTGTAAGAGCCACGATACTGACATTGTAATGCTGGTTGCTTGGCAAGAGGCGCTGACCAATTGGCCTGTAAGGCACCACGCTTGGGTTATGTTTGGAGCAACACTCCTTGACGTGTATAATTTAGGATTAAATAGTAGTGAGGATGAAGGAGTGATATCAGTGCTGTCTCTGCAGACCCACCAGAGCCCATGGAAATATATTCAAGTAACTGGACTGTGCTACCATGGCCTGGCTCCTTATCCAGCCTCTGGCTATTAAAGACTGCTTGAGTATGGCTGTCGTGCTGGCACAGACAGACTCTGAGGGACAGCGCTGCTTCGTGCAAGACCTCAGTGGTGGCATATTTTTTTCTCTTTATTAGTCACAAAATTGCTTCTGGCGGAAGTTTGCTCAGCAGTATTTTTTTCCTCCACTGATTGATCCCGATGTGCAGGCGATGTACTCGAAAGTCACTCAAGCTATTCCCACTTTACAGGGCTCAGCCTCAGACACCTCGTATACAAATTACAGATGTTTCTTTTGTTTTGCCGTTTTGATTTCTGGATTCAGCTAACGTCTGTTTTAGGGGGCAAGCTGTTGCTGTCCTGTTTGAAGAGATTAATCCGTGCCTGAGTTATTATCTAGGTGAAATTGCAGTCTGTTCATCTGTTTTCAGCCTGCCCCGATGGTCACTATGGAGAGAATTGCCTGCTGCTGTGCAGCTGTAGCAGCAGTGCTCAGTGTCACCACGTCACCGGAGAGTGCACGTGTCCCCCTGGCTGGACTGGCCACGACTGCAAACACCGTAAGTCAAACGTTGTGTTCCCTCCACAGGGCACACAGCATCTCCCAGGGACTGAACTGCGAGTGTAAGAGCCAGCTCTGTTTGTTCTTAGTCTGTTACAGTTTTTTAATATACTTTTGCTAATCTTTCTGCTTCTGAAGTTGTGTGTTTATGGGTTTGCACAGCCTGGGTGGTTATAATCCTTAATTATCTAGGTTCAAAGTGTTGAAATAGATGGCTGATGAAGCGCAAAGTATTGATATAAGCTCTTATTTCAACACTATGGATCCCTTTGCCCAATACCATCTGTCCTGTCAGCGTTTTGACTGACAGACAGTTTTGTCTTTCATTTTCAGCACAGATTAGTTTCAAGATTAATTCTCAATTTTTCATTTTGTTTAGGGGAGATTTATTCAACAAGTGAGTGGCATGTACAGTCGTGTGTCTTAGGGTCACTTCTTAACTTGTGAATATAAATGCTGAGAGAAATTCTGTTCTCTGGAAGAGCAGAGCATCTGTCTGTTAACTTTAGCATCGCTCTCCGTATTGATGGCCGTGCAAGAGTGCAGATTTGCCCTTTTGGATAGCACCATATGAATGTTAAGCCATCTCTCTTGATTCATTCCTTCTCCTGTTTCACGTCCTTTCTGCTTGATTAATTATAATCTCTTTTGCAAAAAGGCAACAGAATACAAACCTCTTTCTCAACTTGGACTTAAACACATAAAATAATATAAATTAATTGCCAGTGTTGACAGCAGTAAGTTTTGGACCTGGCTTCTCAGGCTTGGTGCTGAAGAAAACTCTGGGCAAATCGGAATTTTCCACCAATATCAGTACTTTAAAAATCAAACCAGTTTTTATTGTGTAGAGCTATTTAGACAGCTTTCTATAATTCCCTAGGCTGTCTAAAGAATTAAGAAACCACGGGAAAGAATAGCTTTTATTTCTATTTGGGATAAGATATGAGAGAAGTTGTTTTGCAGAGGTGTCTCAGTAAGACAGCTCTTCCAACTGTTGCAGACTGGGCGTGAAACAGATGCCCAACTCCAAAACCAGGTTTCTGTTGCCCTAATTGGCACTTTCATCTTTATCCTTTAAAGAGAAGAAGGAGATGCTGTGATATGTTGTCATAATCATGTCAGTGTTAGGGGATTTTGAGAAAGCAGTAAATTAACAAAGATTGTGACTTTTCTCTGCCTGTGTCCATGTTGCATTTCCCAGTATTTTGAGGAACATATAGTGGCTGCTCACAAATCTGTCTTGTTTTACCCATTAGCTCTTCTGGTTATGCAGATTTTTTGCTAAGTGAGTCAATAGCTGATATTTTATTTCCACGAAATTACGCATTTGTGGCTGTGGATCGATGGATATGGACTGACTACGAATGATTAAGCTTTATGTGGATGGTGTAATATCTGCCTATGGACTCCTACTTTCAGATGAAATAAATCAGCAAAAATTGTATTTATTTCCATTGATTTGTGCTGCATGCTGCAGCTGAGAGTTTAGTCCAGAGCGCCTGAATCTTAAGGAGCCATTTTGCATCTTTTCTGTTCTCTCATTTAGATGCAAAATAATCTGTTAGCTGAGCTCGAAGTTGATTCTCAATGTAAATACTGCTTTATGTTGCAGCCTGCAACAGCGGCCGTTGGGGACAGCGCTGCGAAAACACGTGTGTCTGCAATAACAGCGACGGTGGCTGCGATCCGGTCACCGGCTCCTGCTTCTGTGAGCCGGGATTCACTGGGAAACACTGCGAATGGAGTAAGTTGCCTCTTTGCCAACAGAGGGAATTTGCAAAACCGAGCAGCAGAAGTTGTGTTTTTCCTGATAATTCCCTCCAGGAGCACCTCCAGGCTGTACCGCCTCCGGTCTGCCCAGCGCGTCGCAGGGCTCTCGGGTTTCATCGGAGTTAGATAGTTTCCCTAATTTGGATTCCAGAAAAGCTATTTTCAGACTTATTTTGGACTCAACATCTATTTTTAATGTTAAACCTCATATGAGTGATAGCATTGATGTATGTTTGGCTTATGGCATAAAAGTTTCCATATCTGTTTTATTTATCTGGTTTTAGATCTGCACTGTTTCTTCATAAATCTTTTTTTAAGGCTAGGCATATAGAAATGCTTCACATGCACACAACAGAAGCAAAATCAGGAAGATTTAGGGTCCTCTATTTGTTAACAACAAAAACACACAATGGCCTTACCAAAGGCCCATGATCTCCACTAGTCTGTCTCTAGCAGAGGTCAATAGCAGATGCCTTAAGAGGATAAAACAGGCATATAGAGAATTCCTGATATGTTTCCCCAGGTTTCTTCAATTTGTCACTCAGGAGCTTATTGAGACTGAAGGAATACCTCTATATTTAATACAACTTGATTTTTTTTCTAATTAATGTGCCTATTCCCTTTTTGACTCCGTGTAAGCATTTGATATCCGCTTCATCTTGTGGCAATAAATTGCATAGTTAAGCTGTTATTATTATTATTATTATTGTTATTATGCATATATGTTGATGTTGTGAAAGTAAATAATCTGTTAGTTTAACAATCTTACAGTAGCATGGATGTAGCTACCAGAGTCCCAGTAGCGTAGGCAGAATTAACTGCTGATGTCACACAGAAATGTCAAAACGATTAATCTGAAACGCTGACCTAAGACAAAAACCCTGGAAAGTTGATCTTACAGCTCTTGTTGCTGTTGGCACAGAGGGAATGCAAGGACAGTTAGTTGGGAAGACCAAGTCCCAGAAAAAGAGCTGCCAGCTTCACTTCTCTTTTGCTCTTGACCTCTCTCGAAACAGCATCTCTGCAGACAGAAAGTAGCCGAATAGCTGGCTGTAATCTTCTCTGGCAAGGTAATCAGTGAAGCCATCGCCACCGACAAAACATCTGGCAATGCCTCATGTTCTGTCTGTGGGTTTTCTGTTTCATCTCAGTCCTCGCTTTTTTCCCCACTTTAATATTGTGTGTGTGTATGTATATATATATATGTATAAAAAATGCATGTATATGTGTGTGTGTGCAAGAGTATAAAAGCCATAATTCTTCCTTGAATTTTTATACTGCCTTGGAGGTGAGATCTTTTCTCTCCCTGGAGAGCTCCTCTGCTCCTGAGGCATCCCTGGCCTCTTGCTGCAGGTCGGACTCTCTCCCTCCAAGGCTTTGCAGGCGGCTCCGGCTCTCCAGCAGGGCGGACGTATCTCGGCACGCGCTGCAGCAGCCCGTGCCTGCACGAGCAGGGGGCAGATTCTCTGTGACGTGGACTGAGAAATCATTTGTGCAGTGTACTGACCCGTTGCCATCACCTTGAAAGTCTCAGCTCCAGGCTAAACGCCGTAGCTTTGAAGAAAGCTCAGCTGAGAGCCCCACACCTATTTCTGCACTGGAATGCTGTTTTCCACTGAAATTTCAAGTGAAAAGTAAACACTGAGGATGATCAAGCTTTTTAAGGCACAAGTGCACTTCTGTGTATTTACTCACTGAAGTAGCGTAGGAGGCATGATGCACGATGATCTGCAGCTTTGGGAATAGGAGGTGAAGCAAAGGGATGTTGCACTAATTCAACCCTGCGTCTGAATTTCAACTGTAAGTGCAAAAAATGCATTCAAACATCTCCACGTTTAAACAACAGCCCATTTTCTGACACAGATGATCGAAAGCAGAGAAATACTTCAGATCCCTTGCTATCCTTCTGTCTCCCATCCCAACCTATAGCCTCTATAAGAGACCCAGGAGTTGGCTCCAGTTGAACCAAGTTCACATCAGCTCCTACCGCTGCCCACCTCCAGCACCAAACAGGCCACACCAAACTCATCACTTTATAGCACATGTAGAGTTGTCTTTGAGGATCCTCGTTGTTTTTGAATTTCTGTGATTCCAGATTGCCTGAAAATACTTTGGTGATTTAAATGCTAAAATCCTGTACTTCTAAAAGAGATTTGGCAATAAGCTGCGTAACTTATTTAGGGAGGAATTGACAAGACCTTCAAACATGAGTAGAGGCCCTGTAATACTGTGTTTAGCCAAGTATATCTCTCTATTTCAGCCTGTCCAAAATATCTAATGTGAATTAGGCAACTGGCCTTATTCTTAATTGATTTTCCTATAATCCTGGAAGAAATTATTTTCGTTCTCGAGTGTTGTTTTCTTTCTTCAGATAGTAAGCACCATGCAAATCTTTTAAAACTCCTTATGTTAACTACTGTGGAAATGGAATTGTTAATCTGTCCCTCAGATGAAATGCTTTCACTTGAATTTTTCAAAGCAGAGCCTGAAAGTAAAATATGCAGCATTCAGTTTGGAGCTTTCCCAAGGAAGTCACCACATTTCATATTTTCTCCAGCTTTCTGGGCAAGGAGGATTTGCAGGAAAACAGAGGATAGGGCCTCAAAAGGAGGCGCAGAAGCTGAGATCTTTCCTCCTCCTGGCTGATGAAGTCCCAGAGGAGATGTGCACATAAGCAACTCCAGACCTGCGTGCAAAGTGTCAGCAAGCAGAACCTGTGAATTCACAGACTTAGCAACCATCGGATGGTATCAGTTTTCTGTGCAGAATTTAGTCTTTCAACACCCTGGCGTTTTTCTAAAATAGACCTTAATAAAAACAGCCCAAATTACCTGAACCCCAAGGAGAACACTTAATCACATGAGTTTTAAGGCATTAAATTATGCCTCGATTCTTCTTCTGGAAATAGTAAGAATTCCCATGTATCTAAAAATTCCCCGTTGATCCCTGATCTGCTTCAAAATTAACCCATCATCTGGTTTTGATTCCTCCACTGCAGGATGCCCCGAGGGAAGCTTTGGCCCGAGCTGCGAGTCCAGCTGCCAGTGCCAGAACGGAGCTGCCTGCGACCACGTGAGCGGAGCCTGTACTTGTGCGGCGGGTTGGACAGGAACCTTCTGTGAAAGAGGTACAGCCACTCCCTCCGGTCCCTTTCGAGTTTCTGCAGATGGGTTTTTTTTATGCAGAGGGCTGGTTTTACCATTTACAGCACCCGGTCTAAAGAAAACATTTGACTTAATTAGAAGGCAATACTGAAACGTGCACTTCCATCCTAACTCAGCAAAGCATTTTGGTGTGTGCCTAGCATTGGGCACATGTTTTACCATGATTAAAATTAGATACATGCTTGAGACCCCTGCTGTATCACATCTTTACGAAGACTCTTCATAAGCAGAGCCTTGCTATTGTAACACTGAGCAGAAAGATATTTGACCTGCCTGAGACTTGCTTGTTCCTAGTGCATGTCTGAAACATTTTAGAGAAAAACATGGAGCTTTGCATCTTCCCAAAGGAACTTTTTAAGAACATGTATGCTTTAGCTTTAACAAATCCAACAGGTCATCTTCAATTACCTGATCATTTGGTAATGTGTTGGAAAGGTTGGACTGGATTCCTTAGATATGTTAGTCAGTCTGGGGCATTGTCTAAGGAGGTTGCTGTCATAGAGTCATAGAATGGTTTGGGTTGGAAGGGACCTTAAAGATCATCTAGTTCCATGGCCCCTGCCATGGGCAGAGACACCTTCCCTAGATCAGGTTGCTCAAAGCCTCATCCAACCTGGCCTTGACGCATCATTGTGCAGATCATAAAAAATACAGTCTTGAATACAACAGAACAGCATGTAGTCAGTCAGAAATTGGGAGTTATTTAAGTGTAAACGATTGAAGATTCTACAAACGATGATCATTAAACCCGAGTAACAATAATTTTGCTTAGAAAGCAGCTTTATCAGCACGTTTCTGAAAGTAGCGTTACAGCTATGAGAGAGGGAAGCAGCAGCACTCGCAGGCAGCTGCTGCCCTCCCATGGGAAGGGAGGTGCTCCACAGCCTTACCAGGAATAAAGCAAAGCATCCCACTGACGAGCTCAGATATTGCTTGTTGTTTCCCTCTCATTCTTACCCAGAATTATTATACAAAATAAATACTCTTTTCAAGGTTGGGCTGCAAAGTGTGCCTCAATTTATGGTATCTTTACTGTGTCTCTTTTTGAAATGATTTATCTGAAGTCTGGTTTCATAAGTCTATCTTTTTTAAAATTATTATTTATTGGGAAAGCAATACAGTTATCTGTGTTGCGATGTAAATCTGTTCGTTCCAGCAGGAATCAAAATGTGGACAAAGAGGCTAAATATCCTTCACCAAAATTTGTGTGAAGAATATGGAGAAGCTTGCGTGATGTCTATCAGGAAAAAAAACCCAAACAAACGCTTCTCAGCTTCCAAATCAGTCATGTTGCACGTTTTTATCTTTTCAAATTACTGAAAGAAAATTGTGGAGGAGAGAGTAGAATTTAGCGCTTACTGTTCATGACTGTACAGTTTTTGTAAGACCCAGTTTTCTACATATTTTCTGCCAAGCAGGCAGGGCGTTTGCTCCGAGCTGACCTGTTACCTTTTCACATAGAAAGTTTCAGCCAGAATGGTTTGGCTGCTTCCAAAAGATGAAGACGAAGGAAAACGAGTGGGTGGTTTGCCCTCAGTAGAACCTTCTTGGCACCTTTTCTGTGAGGAGCTGTAGCACTTCTGTTTTTAGTGGCTTGGAGACTGGCAGGGTTTCCTTCTGGCGAGGATGTGCTTTTTGCCGTCCTCTTGGCAATCCACCCACGTTGGCCAAGCTTCTGCGCTTTGCAGACAAGAACGTAGAGATTGAGACCCGGTGCGGCTGAGTTGCCTTGGACTTCTCCCATACTGCTGGTGCTTCATCCCATGGCTGGGAAGGACTTTTCCATCATCGCAGAAATGTTGAAACTGAAACTTTTGCAGCTTTCTAAGTTCAAAGTCCCAGGAGAAGATAGTACCTTACGAAATCTAATTTTGATTAATATTAATAATTATTATTAATATCACCCCCACACAATGCACGTGTTTGGAGCCTGCAGTTGTTGCTTCTGGTATTTTGCATTGTGGCAACGTGGGATCCACAGTCACGCTGAAATTGCAGAAGTCCCAAAATTTGCCTTTGTGGTTTTTTTGGGATTGGTTTTCTTTTTTTCAAGCGGGAACAAAGTACAGCTCTTCCTTTTCATTAATTTGCTACCTTCAGTCTGAAGTAGGGCTTCATAGGTTTACAGGCCAGTCCCTGTTGCAAAATGTCACTTCAGTGGTCATTTTCCAGTTCTTTATTTGCCACAAAAAAATATCTTCTTATTATTTATTAGCTTTCTTAATATAATCTTAGCCCTTGCTGAGTCTCAACATTGGGCTTTTGTAGTATCCGTCTTTATGGTGAAGTTAAGGCTTATCCAGCTTGCTCTGCCTCTGTCGATGCACACTAGCAACTGTACAAAGCTCTTGGAGGATTTATGTCACTATGGTCCAGCAAGCCTGTATTTGTCATTTCGAGCATTTGTGTTACCAGCTGACGTGCTGCGATGACTTGACCAGTAACCAGTGTTCATCCCCAGTGAGGCAGCCGACCTAAGGGAAAAGAAACGTCGTGCTTGAGTGTGACATGGTGTTTGGGCAGGGGTGATGCTTCAGTTGTATTTCAATTTTAACTGAATCAAGGCAAACTTTTCAAGTCTCTGGACTTGAATATTTTGGAGATATGACCCAAGAACCTTATATGTGATCCAGTGTTCTCTGAAAAGAGTGTAAAGAGTGAAGACAGTGTGATGACTCAGACCATATTTGTAAATATTCAGTGCAAATTGGTGTGTACTTACACATATTGCCTGTCAATAATACAGGTAACAGCCAAAGCCACATCAACATCATCCACCAGCACAGGACAGTTTCTAAGCTACCCAGTAGCAGGAGATACTGTTGCTCCAGGTTTCCATTTCGTGAGACTTTACTGTGAATCATTTGGGAGTTGACTGAACCTCTGCCCTCAGCCAAAAGACTTCATGCTTTTGTCTGCCCATCAGCATCTCAGTTCTGCTTTGCTCTGAGGCAGCTTCAATCAGCTGTTCTTCATCTCCATCTGGTATCATTCAGTTGTACTGCTGCCTCTCCAGTAGTGACATGGTCACATATAATAATAATAATGGGTAAGAATAAAGCTATCAAACCACTTTCTGAAAGAACATTAGACATTTCTGAAAGGGGTACGTGCCTGCTCCATCTTTCAGCTCTGCTCAGTCCATTGTAAAAATTAACCTTGTGACTCTTGTAACTCTTTCAAAAGAGCTGCAAAAGGAGCAGAACTGTTTCAGTTGCAAAATAGTTAATGTTTCCAAATAAGGCTGAAAAGAATCTACAGGGAAACGTTTGCAATCCACATGGACAACCTAGGAAAGGCTTCCTTTGTATTTTCTTGAAAGCAGTGATACAGGTCTTCACAAGGTCTGGCATTACCAAAGGAAAATGAATCCTTTTCAGTGGTTCCTTGAGAGTGATGCTACTCGCAACGCCTCTAGATATCTTACCTATCTGAGTGGTTATGTGCCCAGGGAGAAGGTACTTGTGGCATATGTGGAATTCTAGCTGTTCCTGAACTGAAGCAGCAATTAATGCCTCTGCATACCTGGACTGCACAAAGGCAGGAATCATAGCAAAAAACGACTTTGTAAGTCCTTTCTCTATCCCATTAAAGCACAGACAACGTAAGCAGTATCTTCTCCAGAAGAGATGCCTGCTGTGATCACCCACTGCAGCAGGGCTTTGGTTTTAATGCACTTACAGCTAAACAGGCAAATGAAAAAAAAAAAAAAACAACCCACAACAAAAAAAACCCCGACAAAACCCAAAACCCCACCCCAAAACCAATTCTTGTAATAAATAGCTAAATATATCAATGCTCTTTTCAAATAAATGTTAACATCTGATGTGCAGGAAGCCTGGGCCATGGACTCCTGATGTCAGGCAGCCCAGCTGCCCACCCAGCAAACCCAAAAGGAGCCAAGGTGTGCCTGCCTTCACATCCATGCTCGCAGCTCTGTTACGAGCGCACAGCGCCATGCCGAGCGAGCCAGGTCACCCTGTCCCGCACCGGGCTTGCTCTGCCCCTATTTGGGAAGGCAATTGTTACAACTGATTTACTGCTGTGAAGTGCTAAGCATCTGCTGCTCCCGCTTTGAAGGTTGTGATTGTCTTCACTGCACCGTAATTTCGTTTAATTTCGTTCCCCGCTGCTCTGGTATGTATGACCCAAGGCACGTGTCCGGTTATGGGATCAGGTCAACAGAAGAATTATCCAGTTTGCTACTTGATCTGACCAAATATCCCAAAATGCCACACAATTAGCTCATAAACTTGAGGCAACAGGAGTCTCGGCCTTTTTCTGCAGCGTGTTTATTAATTGATGCATTAATGACAGCAACGCACGGCCCTTGTGGAGTGCAGGGCTCAAAGTTTGCATCTGAACTGCTGTGTAAATCAGCACTACTGCAGGACAGGCTGACCGGGCTTCTCTCTTGGGATTTCAACAGTTAATCATTATCCTAAGATAGCCCAGCAAGAGTTCTATTTTAATAAGATAAAAAGGGAAAATAAACACACTGCATGCTTAGGAATGGCTGACGATGCTGTGTAGTCCCTGCATTGAACAAAGGAAAACTTTGTCAGCCTTTGAAGTCACCTAGGGGGAAGTAGGAGAAGTCCCTTCTCATATGCTGTGCCATATGCACTGCTGAAATGTGGTAAATAAGGACATAAAGATTGAAACCACATCCTGGTGTCTCTTCCTTACAGCTTGATAACAGCTCTCTCCCCAGTACGAACCGAACAGAGGCTGAGGGGTGCGTTAAAGTTTTATATCAGTATGAGACACTTCTCTGTTTTTCTCAGACAGCACTTGGAAAGTGGTATAAGCCTGAAATCTTTCGTATGCCAAAGAAGAAGCTGCAGTGTGGACAGGATGAAGGGAAGAGCAGCCTTTTGATTTTGAGTAGATGAAACGATCGTATGTAGTCACAAGCTGAGCAGGGAGCTCTGAGAATAGGGAAGCCAAAGCAGATGTTGTGGTGTATCACGCCACCGCCGTCACTGTCTGAAGGTCCAGGTTTGCCTGTATCTACGGATACTGAATTTTCCTTCCCTGTCTGCCAAAGCAGACAGCAGTGCTTTCTGTTAGAGGACTGAATTTATGTTTGTGGAAGAAGCAGTACGAGTAGACTGGGACAAAAAGCCTGGGTGTGAAGAAGACACAGAGCAAGGAAAAAGGACAGAAGAGTCCAACAGTGGAAGATGCATATGGATAATGGTGTTATTCTGACCTGGTAGAGAGCTGTGAACTTAGTGCAGAGGGACATTGGGCAGCGTATAGGACGATATACGATGATAACTGTCCTAAGACTCTATTGGGAAGCCAGTCGTTCTGATTTCATAGTAGAAGGATGTGAACTGACTTTTAAACATAAGTTTATATTGAACAGGAGGACAAAAAAAACTAAGTTTTGTTTAATAACTTATTTAATGAGCACCGTTGCTCCTGAGACCAGGTGATTCAGAGGTTCTGTGGAAGGAATGACATACAATTGTCTATCTGCAGATTCAGTATCGTTTAGTATAACATAATTATGCATGTACTTATACAATCTAAACACACACACATCTCTATATGCATAGAGGTGAAATTAAGGCTATATAGGCAACATAATTACTAATTTTCTTTTTTTTAACTCTGCATAGCAGCCTTAACATTCTTGTAATGCAGCCTTTGGGGTACGATGTGGCCCGCTGACGGGCACCGATGGCTTATTTTCACTGCTGTCAACCCTGGTACAGATGTAAATTGACTCTAAGGGGCTGCTCTTCCTTGCTGCTCTTCCTTACCTGTCCTAGATGTAGGTACCAAGCTCCTGAAGCTGCCTGGCATTGTTCTGCTACCCGTGATTTGTCTCGGTTTTTTCTACACATTCTCTTTGCCAGGTTTTCATTTCAGCACTGAACTACAACACTGTGGCTTATGTTCACTGTTAAAAAATCTTTAGAAAGGTGTCAGGAGAGTAAATGGGAGCATCAGGTTTGCATTTCAAAAGACAGGGAGATAATCAGGGATGGACCCCTGGTCTTGCGTTAAGTTGAATTATTTCCTTTCTCCTCTGTCCATGACGGAAGCACAAGTACTGGCTTGTGTGAATCCATTCTCTCTCCTTGTCATGGATTTATGACTTTTTTCCAATATATTCTGAGCTGTGTTTTTCTAATCTGTTGCTTGTGTAAAACAGGTCACGTTTACTGAGATACACATAGCAGAATTGCACAGGCTTAACCTTTGAAGCAACTTCAGCTCTCAAGTGTAGTCACAGAGCAAGGTGTGACAAAGCATCCATGGAAAGAAGAGCAGCACCTCGTCTTTTCAGATCTCTGAGCTAGAGTTTCTACAAAAACAAAAACGAAAAACCCCCAAACCAACAGGAACTCTGCTAAAAATTAATGTTTTGCATTTTCAGCTTGTCCAGATGGATTCTTTGGGCTTGACTGCCACCAGGTGTGCAACTGCAAGAATGCTGCTGGCTGCGACCACGTCCTGGGAACCTGCCGCTGCCTCCCCGGCTGGCTGGGGGGGACCTGCGAGCAGCGTAGGTACCGCTGCGCTCCCCATCCCTGGGCACAAACCCCTTCAGTGCTGTCATGGGTTTTCTTCTGGGAACGTAGAACGACCTACCAGGGTTCAGTTTTTAGATAGGCCACATTCCTTTCCAAAGATGCCAAAAAAGGGAACAAATTTTGATAGCTGTGTAAATAATCAACTTTTTATTTTTTTAACTGCTGTTGGCTCTTGTCGAATGTTATGAGCAGCAGTTTTTAAATAGCAGAGCTGTCTCCTACCATGTGATGAATCTCTGCTTTTTATTTTTGTGCAACATTAAGAGATGAAATGTTACTCTGTTTCTGGCGTATCTCATCTAATTATCAATTATAAAGTGACAGATTATAAATGCACGAAGTAGAAATATCAGAGCTGGGACTATTTTGTTATTTGAGCATGACTAAATAGTTTTAACTAATTCTTAGAAAAGTTGTTTGTTTTTTTTAAAAAAAAAAGTCAGATTCCTAGATTTTCACAAGTATGGATTATCCTACAATATTTAAGCTGATCAGGTTTTTTTGGTATGTTTGTGTGTATGGCTCTCCTGAGAAATCGTTCACTAAATTTCATGGGAGATTAAGTGATTTTCTTTAGCTACGTGGCATTACATATGGAGATCACTAAGCCTGTTTGCAAAATTTAGCAAATATGGGGTTTTTTTAAGATTTTCAGGTTTAAGCCTCTCAACTTCCTAGTTTCACTTTAGGATGATGTCATGGTCTATCTTTCCTTTTGAGAACATGACTGCTGTCTGCAGGACTGTGATGTAGAGCTGGGGCCCAAAGCAGCTCTACAAGGAGCCAACTTTTGTTGTTAGTGAACACTTTCATAAGGCTTTTTTAATCCATAGGTTGCAGATTTCTGCAATAGAAAGTTGATTTAGTTTAGAAAACAGAGAGAAATTATACTTGTATTGAAACAATTCTATACACCATGTTATAATCAGCCTCTGTTTGAGGACTCTGCTTGCTCTTCATAATCTTCTTCCCTCATTTGCCCCCATCATGTGATACAGCCTGTCTTCTGAAAGGGCTTCTCCTGCAAAATCCCCGCAGTTCCGATTTACAGGGGGGTTGATGCTGGTGAATCTTTCAACTTTTTAGATATTTCTGCAAACATCCCACCGTTGCAGTCCTTTTTGCCTCCTCATGGCCCCCTCATAGGAACACTTGGCACTCTGTCTCCCACCACCTACAGATGATTGTGGTAATACCCCTCTGGGTGTAGGTTAATGAGCTGACAGTGAAATAAATGCAGAGCCAGAGCCATATAGCCATACTGCAGAGCAGAAAAGGTGCTGCTGAACAGGTACAGTGTTTGTTTCTTGGTCACAGCCCACTTTTACTGCCCTTCAGCCAAGCCATGGCGTTAGCAATGTGTCACCTTGGCCCGTCCCCACTCCCTAGGGTGCATTAGGGATGGGAAGCTTTGTTCCTGTGCCTTTCATTAAATTCAATTAAGAAATGCAGCTCTTTGTCAATGGCCTTCTGTGCCCCCCTCTACTCGCATGAGAAAAAGACTATTTATTCTCTTTCGCTGGAGCCATTAGAGCTTTATGGCTGGTTGATTTATTCCTCTTGCTGGTGAAGATGCCAAAGCCTCTGAGGTCTCTTTTGCCTGTAAGTAAAAGAGCAAGGTCAGTTAACGGTGCAAAGAATAACCTGCTTTTCTCTTGGCTAGAAGATGAATCTTCCTTTTGATTTTAAGACTGGACTTCAGCCACGCTGCTCCAAAGCTGCTCAGAGTAAGGCAGCCGTGGGTCGGAGGCGACAGCTCACCATTCCCCATCCTTGTTGGGTGTTTAATATTCACCTTGCCCATTCCTGGGACTCGCCAGCTCTAGCAGCTGGAAGGACAGCACTCGTGTTCAAGTAATCAGATTGCAGACTATATGCTGGAGGATATTGAGAAATAATTTTGACATCATGGGATTTGAATTGATCTTAAGTTGGGCATGCAGTCCATTTTATACACTGCTATCTAATTATGGGCAATACAGACAGTAATGCCTTTTGTTTGAAGCTGCCTAACACTTTCCATTACAAGACTGTGTTTTTCAGTTGCTTGTAAATGAATTATATTAATCTGGGATGAAATCTGCCAAGCAAGCTCTGCCTCAGCTTAAGTCTGTGTTTGGTGATTTTTTTTTTTAAATTTATTTACTTTGGGGGGTTTTTTGAGTCTCCCCATAACATATTTTATGTTTCCAAGAAAGAGGTTTAGGAAAAGTATGTCGTCTATTTTTCTTTTTTGGTCATGATGCTTCAGTGATACAGAAGTGAGGACTTGACATTTGGCATCTCTTTGTGCTAGGGATGTAACCTTACTTTCTGTATACAAACTCGTCCAAATTTTGCTGTCTCAAAATCAAACCAACCAACCAAACACCAAACAAAACAAAACACACACAAAAAAACAAACAAACAAAAATCTCATGTTGCATATGGTCTGTAGAAGCTGAACACAATTCAGCATCTGCATTTTGCCCTGATTCTATTAGTGCTATAAATGCCTCTTCCTGGAGCTGTTGCTGGGGCTCAGCAGGATGTTCACAGAAGCAGGTCTTTGTGGTAAAAAAGAGACCACACTGTTTGCAAAAGAAATGAGTATGGAAAGATTGACTCTGCTAGAGTCTCTGCTCAGAGGTGCTGATAACCAGGGGCTTGACATTTCATGGTGTGTGAGCACTTGGCTTTGCAAATTCCCTCTTCTTTTGAAGCCAAAGCTTTGTTTTGGGGAGAATAATCCACAGGAGCTACATGAAATCAAAGCTTTTGGGCACCTTGTAGAGTCATAGTGCCCATTGTTTCCCTATGCTCCCGGATGCTTCTGATGGCTGTTGACTTCCAGTCTGGAAGAAAATGTCCAGTTTCATCTGTTCCTTACTCTTGTGTGCAAAAAGGGATTTTAAAGACTGCAAACGAATAAATCCTCCTCTTACAGAGGAAGGGCATCAAGAGGGAAATTTTGAAGCAGGAGGAAGTCTAATAATTTAGACCTTTCTATTGCTTCTTCCCTTTGCGCTTATCATGAAGAAAGGAGAAAAGGCCCAGGCACATTTGTACATTCAGTTGTGGAACTTCATAGAACAGCTTGAATATATCACTTGTTACCTTAATCTTCAGGAAAGTACTTTGATAATCAGGATTGTCCTACCAAGAAGCTAAAAGAAGTTTATATCCACCCAGTAGAGTAATTAAAATTTTATTCTCCAGAAATTTCTGCTTTCTTACCAGAATTTTCACTGGAAAACTCTTGTCTTCTCAGTAAGCATAACGAGAGCTTTGAGGGCTTTGCCTACATACTCCAAAAACCTCACACGAACCACTAGTAACCTGTCAGGGGACCTGGTTATGAGCTGGTTTTTCCTTTGGCTTGGTTATGGTATCATTCTGGTCTGTATTGTGGAAATATTTAGTTCTGTTTCTAAAACTGAGCCAGAGCTCTGTAGGATAGGCTGAACCTTTAACTTGGCAACCAAGCCTCATTTGCAGAACAAACTTTTAACTGTGATGGGACTGAGCTCCTGCACTTTCTTGTGGTTTCGATGTGGATGAGGTCCAAGCGATGACAAAAATGAACACTATTGAAAAGTCCTGGGAGAAATGGTGCCTGTGAGAACCGCGTCGGGAAGCTGGAAATCCTCAGATGGGAAGAAAAGGGCTGAGAATGGGTCAGATAATGTCAATCAAGTTCACCCCTGAGGTTGGGATGGTTTCACTCCTCCCTTCAGTCCCCTGGGACGTGTCCTCCTGCAGCACTGCGTCTTGTTCTGCATATTGACACCCTCAAAGGTGGAGAGGTGGTCGAAAGTCATCCTTTGGGTCTGATCCTGGGAGATGTCACATTCAGCGTGTGCAGGACACTCTTCTGGATCAGGGATGGGAGCCTTTTCTGCCTCTCCAATGCATGCCAGCAGCACTGCGGGGATGAGAGTCTCCAACAGCTTCGTACAAGTGAAGGACAGCCTCCACATGGCAGGAGGCTATCCGACTTCATCAACTCATTTGGTATTTTTGGGGTGATACCTGAAGAAAACAGGGTAGCAGTACTGTTTAGTTTCCACCATTTTAACCTATCCAAATCTCCAGTGCAATGGAGACTACGGGAGTTTTATCGCCGCTATTTTTCGTAGGCAGCAGCGCTGAAACGGAGCCGCAGCCAGCGTGCGTTTGCGAGATGGCCACATTAAGTTTTCACCTGGGAGCCAGCTGCTTAACCGAATGTGTTGAAAATATCACCCCTCTCTGACCAAAGAATGAGACTCTGGGTGAGCAAAGGCATCCAGCTGTGAAAAATGAACACTGAAAACAATGAAGTTGTCAGTTCTTTTACCAGGATGCAAATAAATACCTGGGCTGTCAAGCTGGTGGTTCTGCTGGACCATTAGTTTAGCACAAAGAAATTCCGCAGGGCAGGGGATGGCAGCTGCTCCATCACCCCAGCGATCCTCCCTTCAATAAAAACCTCTTCAGAATGTACTATGATACATATTTTTAAGCTATGTTATTTAGTGTCAGGCGTGGTTAATATATGGACATAGGGGCCTTGATGATGTGAAAAGTGTGTTGTGGGAAGCTGGTTTCAAACCGATTTCTCCAGCGTTGAGTTGTGTCTCAGGTTTGCTCTGTGTGATGCCTCCTTTGGTGCTTCCTGATTGGGGGTTTTATGGATTTTTCTCGTTGCAGCCTGCCAGGGGGACAGCTATGGGCCAGGCTGCAGCCAAGCTTGTCACTGTCACAACGGAGCGCTCTGCCATCACGTAACCGGGACGTGCCTTTGTAGCCCAGGGTGGAAAGGAGCCACCTGCCAAGAAGGTACAGTTGGAAATTCAAACCCCTGCCAGAGGATGATAGGAGGGAAAAATAAAGCTTCTGCTCAGGGGGCTTTGTTAGTGTATTAATTATCAGCTCATTACCCTGTGTTGTCATTTGTTTTGTACCCGTGCAATAACGTGGCTCAGTCCATTAAATAAATCTGTGATGACGCGTTGCAGGGGCCGAGTGTAGGAGCTCGGTGTGCACAGGGCAGAGTCATAAACTGGAAAGAGAACTGGTTTTGAAGGCTGTCTGATTAAGGGAGAAAAGGTCCATAAAACTCACGTTTATGACACTGAAACAAAACTGTTTCTTTTCTATGGCTCATTTTACCATCCCGTGCGCCCGACTGATCCTCATCATTACCATACGCTATTCCAGACATAGGCTAAATCCAGAACATGTGAAAGGCATTGGGACTTCCAGCCTTGGCAATTAGACCAATGCCTGTGATTCAAACACAACCCCAACTCCACGGAGCCTTAAGAAAAGACGCTGGCAAAGAAAGGCTGTGCTGAGGTTTATGTTACACATCCTAATCCCCTGCATCCAAGCTGCTAGAAGTCTGTCCATCCCCATTGCAGAAGGCTCCTTTTTCTGTGCCTCCTGGTGAGGTTCCTGGCCCTGCAGCAGTGCCACGGAGCTGGGGATGCTGCTGCGGGTGCTCCTGAGTGAGCCGGGGTTTGGAGTCAGCACCTCCTTGCAAGCTACGGCTGCCCTTCAGCATACCAAGAGGATGGTTAGGGAAAGGAGATGAAAGCTGGTGGGAGTAGAAGAATATATAAATTAAGGAGATCCCCCTTTAAAACCTAATGAGCTCTTTCCTTGAAGGAATAAAAAAATTGGGAAGGCATCAAACTGTTCTTGATGACGTGTATGACACGACTTAAAATTTTCTGTTCTCCATGAAGACCTCAAATACAAAACCTAAGCAAAAGTTAAAAAAGCTGTTGTCAAATGTGAAGATGTTGTCAAACATATCCTTTTTCTTTAATGGTATGTTTGGGGACTTCTTTTCTCTTTGGAAGTAAGGAGGTAGAGTGAGTGTGTGACAATGAGTGAGCCATCCTCTGGTGTCTGTGCTTTTGCAGAGTGAGAACTTGCTCCTGTTAATATCTTAAAAAAGTGCCACTCTGGCACGTGACAGAGGTGTGTATTTTTGTGCCAAAAAGTTAGGTTCTATCCATAGGAACCAGTGGTGGGAATTACTAATAAAAGTAGGTAAACTGTGAAATGTCATCAGCCAGCTGTGGGTAGCAGGATCAATTAGAAAAGGAGTTGTGATTTTAACAGGACTGTATAAAGAAATTCTGAAAACAGGGAAGTCAGTAACTCCACTTCTTGGTGTTGAGAAAACTGGTAGGGACCAAGAGATGTTTGTGGGAGGTATGAACAGAAAACCTTGAGGCCATTTGGTGGGTCGTAATTCACTTCAACTGTTTTTTTCCCAGGTGAGTTTTACACTGGTCCATGTAATTTCTTATCAGTTGTGGCCCCATTTTTATTTGGTTGTACCTCCAATAGCATGTCCACCATCACCAGGGCGAGAAGGGGTGTAAGCTGGGAAAGGTTGTGTTTAACCTCTGTCCTTCTCCTGCACTTCTTAATGGAAAGCTTTTGTCCTACCTCCTCTCTGCAGCCTGTCCTCCTGGATGGTATGGTGCAAACTGCCTTCAGCGCTGCGTCTGCCACGGCCAGGCAACGTGTGACCGGGTGACGGGCGAGTGCCTGTGTCCCCAGGGTCGGACGGGCATAACATGTGAGCTGGGTGAGTCTCGTCGCCTCCTCCATCCCTCCAGCACGTCGTTTCAGTCGCTCTGCCAGGAAATTCAGTTCTGGTGAGGTCTTGTTTGTGGCAGCCTAGAAAAAAGAGAGAAGAGCCAGAGGGCTGGAGAGCACCAGGTATGGAGAGGCTGAAAAAATTGGGATTATTTAGTCAGAGACTAAAAGACTGAGAAGAGATATGGTATTGGCACTTGAACATACCATGGTGTTAGAAATTCACTGGACAAAGGGGAGGAATAAGCTATTCTTTCTCCCTTGAGAACAGGGAAGATAGGTAATGAATTCAATTTGAGGAGAAAAAAATAATAAAAGAAATCCTCTGAGAGAAAAAAATATGTATTTTTAGAGAATTTTGTCAAGAGAGGCTTCAAAATCTCACTCATCAAGGTTTTTTTAGGACCAGCTTAGGTGGCTCACCATGTTTCAGAGGCATATGTGTTCTTCCTGGCGCGCCTCCAGCCTGGCCCCCCATCGGTCTCCCCCATCTCATTTCAGAGTGTGGGGACGGGAGGTACGGAGAGGGCTGCAAGCAGAACTGCAGCTGCCGCCATGGGGTTTGTGACCAGCACTCAGGGAAATGCATCTGCCACGCCGGCTGGGCTGGGGACCGCTGTGATGTTGGTAAGGGTAGCAACTCCTGCAGATGCTTTATTATAATAAATACTTTCTTCTGCAATCAGCCTTTTCTGCCTCCTCTCTATGAAGTCCGTTTCTATTTTGTATCTAAGTTTTCCAGTATTCTCTATTCCAATAAGAAGTAACGCTGGTGTGAGCACTCACCATATGTCTCGGGAGCCCCACAGGCAGGTCTCTGCCTAACTACAAATACTCACCCTTGTCCAAATCATTTTATCTCCTCCTACTTCTGCTCCCTGCCTGCCAAGAAAAGGAAGGTGTTTCTCTACCTTACGGGTACAAGGAAGAACATACGAAAGGGAGTGATTTGTGAGGAGAGTTTGCCAGATCAGCCACATGCTGCTCCGTCTCTGTAAGTCATCGAGGGGAGCTCAGCAAATTGGCCTGTAGTGGTTGCATGTGGTGCAGATTGCTCAGATTTGACATCGCTGTCTGGCATGTTTAGAGCCATGTAAATCCCTGAAATAGAAATCTCGTAAGCAGTAGATATCAGATGACTTGAAATGTGCCTTCAGCTGACACACTGTGCTTTTTGCAAGCCACAAGCAATTTTCTGGTGTCTCCTGAGGTGCTGAGGACTCACAAAACCTCAGCCACCGGTGTGACTTGTAAAGCCTTCACAGTGCTCACCTTCCTTTTCTTCAGGCCTCACTTTCTCCTCAATCACTTTGTAGAGAGGTGTGAGGTGGAAAATGGTACGTGGCCACCGTGTATTTTCACTCTTCAAACAACTGTCCCTCTGTATGCATAATCGTGTACAGGTGAATGGCATCACCATCTCTACAGACACCATCTGGATTTGTACTCTAGACTGTGACTAAGTCTTTGCCAAAACCTTCACATGCAGACTCATGAATAGCCAACACTAAATGCTTTTAATATTTTTAATATATTCGCTTTCAATGATATTTTCTGGGCACGCAGTCTTCTAAAGATACATCGCCATGTGCAAGGAGAACGATATTGACTCATGTACCGATGACGGGTGCTCTCCGTGCAGCAGGAAGAACTGTTGCTCTCTCTGCTTCTCCCCGCAGTTTGCCCCTCGGGATTTTTCGGCGAGCGGTGCGAGGAGCAGTGCGACTGCGTGCACAGCTCATCCTGCCACCATCAAACCGGAGCGTGTCGCTGCGAAAAGGGATGGCGAGGGAGGCACTGTGACAAACGTGAGTGTCTGCTGGGCCTTTAAGGAGGGAAGTTCAGGTCGGTGCGTACGTTCCTCCTCAATCCAGAGCCGGTGACAGGATCCTTTTGCTCCCGTGTTGCTCCGTGGGATCAGTCTGGAAGTGTTCCCGGGGATGGTTGCAGAAGATCTGTGGGAGGGGGGTGTCTTCACGCTGTCCTGCCTGGCCCCTGCCCCATGCCCTAACGAGGATCGGTTGCACCGTTGCAGCTTGCTTGGCCGGGCGCTACGGTGCGGGCTGCGCCCAGCGGTGCCGGTGTCCCACGGGTACCCCCTGCCATCACCTGACGGGCCAGTGCGGCTGTCCTCCGGGATTCACCGGCTACGGCTGCGAGAAAAGTAAGTTTGTTTTAAGAATGCGAATACTTTCCTTGGAAATTAATGAAGGAATTAATTTCTTCAATAAAAACCTGATGATATAAACGCCTGAAGAAGAAGGAGGAGGCAACAACCTCATGACAGTGAAGATGGACAGGGGCTGTGTGTCGCTCACCCAAATGGTTTGGCCGGTTCTGACCTCTGTGCCCGGCGTGGTTGGGACTGGTGAGGTTTGCCAGCTCGAGTTTTGCAGCTCTCAGGCTGTCAGGGTGCAGCCGGGGGCTAAACTGGATCAAAACAGACTGAGGAGATGCCAGGTGAGCCTGACTCCTGCCCCCAACCATGGGTAAGGCAGCAACTCTGCTTTCTGTTGGCTGTGGCCCCATGAGAGACCGTCTATTCCTGTGGTCAGAGCTCATGGAAATGTCATTATCTGGTTTTTCTTCAATGTTGAATTTGGCCACCTTTGAAAGCAGGCTCGTCTGTGACCCCAGCTGCATAGTTTTGACTTCGTTCTTCCTTACGTTCTGCCTGAGCACTGCTTTAGCAAAAAGAAAAACAACAACAAAAAGAATTAAAATAATTGACATTGGCGTCCCATGTCCTCCACTAAAGGACTCTATATCCTGACCCACAACCAGGGCAACTTGATGGAAGTGAGACATAAGAATTAGACACAGAAAGTCCAAAACCTGTGGACAGTGTGGCTGTCAACAGGCGAAATGAAACCAGTAAAGGTGTTGGTGCTACGACAGCTTTGCAAGTTTAAACTCCCTGCAAAAGGTAGAATGTCTTTATCCACCCACCTGGTCCCCCATGAATTATACTGTTATTTTAGTCAATTTTACCTGACATTTCCCTATGATTTTCTCTAGTGACAAGAAAATTGTATCTGGCCCTTGACAGTTGGGCGCAAATTGACTGAACGAAACAAAATCAAGCAGTGAAGTAACCCCCAAGTAAATGTAATAAATCCAAAGTCCCAGAGGAGATCGTCGTTCTGTAGGCAGGGATTTTATTTAATAAATTTGAGCTCGCTCTTTGTTTGAGTGCTATATTTACCAAGACAAATTTAATTTATTGATTTACATTTCCTCTTCCCTAAGCTTGTCCAGCGGGCACGTATGGTAAGAGCTGTAACCGAATATGTCAGTGCTCTGCCGAGAATGAGGAGTGTCACCCGGTGACTGGCGACTGTGTGTGCCGCCCGGGCTACCACGGGGCCCGCTGCACCCTCCGTGAGTATCAGCTTTGGGCTCCTTTATTCTAAGCGAGGACCGAGTTATGCAGAAGCATGGGCTGGTGGTTTGAGTTCATCTGTGTTAGTACCTTCAGCGTTGGCTGAGATAAAGTAAGAGTAGGTTGGCTTGATTTATAATAATAAAAATACCTGTATTATTGCAAGGGATTATTTTTTTTTAAATATATTGTTTTCATAATTTTTTTTTTTTAAACAAAAACCAAACTGGCTCATTTACCAGCTAAATTCATTCCAATTTCATGCCATGCTCAAGAATATCAATATCATTCTCTATATTTACACCTCTGATCTTCAGCGACACCTGATTATTGTGTAGCTCTTTCATTTCCAAATACCTAGGCTAAAATACTTCCTGAAATCTCTGCATGCTCAAGTAAGGACAAATGGTTATTAGAAAACAACAAGCTGCAATTGGCAATAAATCTGAGTGATTCATAAAGTGAGTTGGGTTGTAGGGCCTTCTGTGGAACAATCAAATTAAACAAATTGTTACTCTGGATTGAAAAATTGTGACTAGTGTAGAGGACAAAATGCCAACTGGCTGAACGCTCCATCGTAAAAACTATTCCCAGATCCACATGCCTCATGCTGGTACTTTGACATCTATAAAGTTGTTCCTGGTGGAATGTGGCAACTGATAAGAAACATGTACCAAAGTATCCAAAAAAGGAGACAGTTAATTACCTTTTTATTTACAACTTTAATTTTGTGTTTACTCCATGGCTTCTAATAGTCTCATTTAAAAAATGAAAAAAAAAAAAAAGCTGTCGTCTTTCATGCTCAGTTTTCCTGTCTTTGACAAACGCTGATTTTCCTTTCCGAGAAATCCAGTGCTTCTGTGTTTGATTTGCTTGCTTTTTTGGGTGACAATTTGGATACAAAGGCCATCTGCAATATAATGTGGCTCTAGTAAAGATGAAACCTGTGCTTTATTCCTCAAGTGGAAACAGGAAGGAGGCTCATTTTAGAGATGGGTGTTTGCATTGCCGTTGTGTCATCACAAGTTGTACTTTGAAATATAAATGTAAATGTAAGGATTGATTCTATCCTCCTTTGTACATCAGTTCTTGCTGTAAGTGAGATTAAAATCCAGCCTTCAAAATCTAGGCTAGAGCTATCTGAATCCATTATATATTAGATTATAATAAATATTATAGTAGAGCAGTAGTGGAGATCAAGTATTTAACAGTATCGTTTTAAAGGACTTAATCATGGTTAGCCTATTGCTTTTATGTAGTAATCTTTCAGTAGTCATTACCTATGTGTATAGTGCTAAATCTCTACAGTAAACGTCCTTGAGCTTGCTTAGATCCTTAAGATTTTTCTTCAGAATTTTAAAATGTACACAGAAGTTCTGGTATAAAAGAAATTGCTTACAAATTGAACCTGTGTTGCATTGAGAGGGGATTTTGCTATGGGCTCCTGTGTAGCTAGGATTCAATCTATGGCGTATGGGATGTGATCATCCCTGGCACTGTGTTCTCTTAGATTCCAAAAATACACGGTATCTTGCACAGCAAATTCTCACTTAATAAATATAGTTTTGTTAGATGTTTACTGGAGAGATAATGGAATAGTAGAGCTTTGCAGAGAGAGAAAAGTTGTCTTTCATCTACGTAGGGTTTTTTTTTTTTTGTATTCTTTCCTATGCCAGTCTGACCAATGGACAGGCAGACACAAAAATGGAAGGGAAACAGTTTGTGGGAGTTACTTTCAGGTTCAGGTCAGTGGAGTGAGAGATCATGGACTTGATTCTGAAGTGACTGTCTGATTACCAAGTATAGCTAGCGTGACTTCGATGGGAATGCTCCGTGTTCCTGCCATCCTCACTACAGAGAGAACTGGGGCCGCTCCAGGATGAAGAAGCATTCAATATAATATTAAAAACAGCCTAGGGAGCCGCTCCCAAAGACATGAAATGGGCTTCAGTCCAGTCAACATGTGGTTGGATGCTGCTGGAAATGGTTTCTGGCAACTATTGCTATATTTATAGTACTGTGAAAAAAGGTTCAAGAAAGTATCTATAAAAGGTGTAGTTGGCTGGGAAGTAAAATTTCCAGGAGCCAAGAGCAACGAGGCTTTCATGTTCTCAAATTTTGGAGTGAAGAGCTGAAACAGTCTCTTGGCAGGACCCAGAGGAGGCAGACAAACTAGCAATAAGGTTCCCATCAATTGTCCATAACTCAGTGGATGGGCAGATCAACTTGAGTGAAGTTATGAATAAAAAGCAGTAAGTGGTGTTGTAATGGATACAAAAACCCATACTACTCATCTGTGACATTTACTGGGCTGAGTGAACCCTGAGCCAGAAAGACTTCACCAGCTTCACCTTCAGGCTGTAGGTAACAGGATGCTTCAGAAGTGACTTTTCAACAATGCAATTAATAACATCGGTAAGAAAAGCCCTGGTGTATCTAATTGGTATGAAAAGATTTAGGAGCTCTTGGTCATGGCAAACTCACTCAAATCAGAAGGAAAAAAATCAGGAAATGAGTTAGAAATCTGGCTGCTGCTCCTGCCATTGTCAGAATAACATAGTCAGATGAGCAGGAAACTGTTAAATTAGAAAAAGTTTTTATGAGATAACTAGTGGTTAGAGGCTAACCCTCTCTATAAAGGCACTGTGTAAATCCCCCTAGCTATCTGCATAGAAGTTCCCTGCAAAAGTAGTATCAGATGAGAGGACCTTGTCAGTAATCATGTGAACGTGGCAGCTGATGTGTTTGCCCGGCTTGTGCTGCTCCCTGTTGAACTGAAATAAATAAAATACTGCAAGGGTAAATAAATTGGTAAGGGGGGAACTACTGCATCCCTTTCAGAAACGGAGCAGCTCTTGCTAGTCTGGAGCTGAGGAGCAATTTTGAAAGCTTTGCTAGGGAGAAGCAACGTGTTTGGGAGTGTGGAAAACAACTAAAAAAAAAAAGAGAAAAGCCCAACGATGACCGAAAGGAAAGGGAGGAGGAAAAGAGAAACTCAGAGTCCAATTAAATCAGTGAATTTGGGTGTGTCCTTTGGTGGAAATGAAATGATGTTGCAGGGCTCACTCCTTGATGCCAGAGTTTACACATTAAACAGATTTTCTGTACTGACAGATGGAAGCACTGATGACAAAGTATTCATTGAGAAGAATCCATGGTTGAGAAGGGCTGAGGAGAGTATCTACATGTTATAAAAGTGTGTATCTGTTTAGTCTTGATGATCTGCTATTCTGATTTGAGCAGAAGCCAATTTTCAGTTTTATTTTAAAAGGCATCCCTTTAAAGCTTCACTGTAAACTCTACCTCTCTATTGAATAGTTCAAAAAATCCAGAGATTTCTCCAGCCACTCAGACCATGCTTTCATGCCTTCAGAAAAGAGAGAAAATATATGAAGTTATTTATCCACAGATTGCAAGAGATCTGTTGCTTGGAGACGTGCAAATATTTCCAAAGTAGCCACAGGCTTTTGTTTTGCCAGGGGAAGAGAAGGAAGGAAGGTGCAAAGAAATGACAGCTGGAGGTAGTAGTTGTTAAATTCAATGATGATCGTGTTGCTGTAAAAGCACCAGCTTCTCCCTCTTCCAGCACACTGGAAAATTAGGAGAACAACCTGCATCTCCAGAGTTCAGCGGTGGCACACTGGAGGCAACCCTGACAGATGAAGGCACCTGCCCAGCAGCTCTGCCCAGCCCTTTCCCTCAGTTCCAGCCTCCATCACTCTAAAGAGTACCTTGAAGACATAAGCTAAGCGTGGCAGATGCATTCATGTCTTCCTGATCTTGTACTCAGTGCTCTTTCAACATTAGGTGTCCAAATAGAAACCCGAAATACTCACTATCACCTGGAAAACCTCTTCATGGACATCTCATTGCCATCTAACACTGGCTCAGCATTACATCCATGTCTAATATTTCTTCTGGTTATTACAAAATACAGCTGCTTGGTTTTTTTCTCAGAGAATTTTCTGGCTTTGCATTTAAAGCATCTCTCTCCTGTACCTATCTTCTGAGAAGATGTCTTCTGAGATTTCATGTTCCTGTCGTGTGCACATTTCCATAGTCTTCCATCCACAGCCCACTAGATGTGCCAGAGCAATGCAAACTCCAGTTTGGAATGAGAGTAGATTATAAAGGAAAGAAGCTTTCTCCAACTTAAACTTTTTCAAAAGATGAAGCCTGCCCCACCGTCTGTAACTGGTCAGTTAAAATGACCGCCAAAATGGGCAGAGATAGCTCATGGCTTCTCGCCAACACAGGCAAACCAGGCTGCTGCTGCCCAAAGGAAGAGGAACCAGGGCCCCATGTCTCCATCTCTGCCATAGGAGGGAAAGGTGGAACAGGGTTGACTTGGAACAGAAATCCAAGAGGAAAACCTCTGAAGAACTGGACTCGCTTTTCTCACCACCATCACATATGAGGAACAGGAGGAGCAGGCAGAGCCAGGAGCAGTCGGACCAGACTCAGCAGCGGCAGTTGGTCAGGCTCTCCAGAGGTTTGACGCTGCAAGTCCACGCTGCCTTGCTGCCCCAAGGAGTACACTGCCCGAGGCAACCATCTGCTTGTCGATGCCCGCTCCTGGCCCTCTAGAAGTGAATAGAGTCAGACAATGAAAATCTAATTTTCGTTGAAAGCAACAAAGTGCTTATGACATGAAATGCAGTGGACCCTGTAGCAACGTAGCCTAATTGTTATTTTGTTCCTTTAAAACAGGGTGTCCGAAAGGCACTTATGGTTCAAACTGCCAAAAACCCTGTAAATGCATGAACGGAGGCCACTGCGACCCCGCGTCGGGAACTTGTCATTGCGCGCCTGGTTTCATTGGAGCCGACTGTAGTAAAAGTAAGCCAACATTCACGTTCTGCTTCTTTCAAAAAACAGCAGAGAGAATAATCTGCATGAGAGCTTGTCAGTAGAAAAACAGACAGATCCCAGCTACCTCCTCCTTAAATTGTAAATCAGGATTCCAGCTTTGTAAAAAATCTCTTGCAAAATATTTTCCCTCTCTTTTGCGTGCCTAGAAGCAGGGACGCTCATCCCAGGATTACAACCTGCTTGCCCAAATTTATTTCTAGAGCCAACTCAGCATGAATCGCTCAAGTTCGTTCTTCCCGTCCAAAATTTCTAGGTTGAGAAATTATCTCAATATTTTGCTTCACGCTATGGTGCCATTAGTTTCAATAAATGGGAAAAAGATCAAGTTTTGTCATGGCAAAACTGGTAAAGACTCCATGGCAACCCTTCTCTTGCTTCTCTACTTCAGAGCTAAATTGTATGGCTGAATTCCTGTGCTATTTCCAAAGCTATGATCGCTAGGAAGTACTCTTCAGCTTATTCACAGAAAGGCAAAGCTTTAATGTCTAGTAGCCCATAGCTTTGCTCTTTAGCATAGGACAGTATTAATATTAGGGAAGGAAAAATGTCTTTAGCTGGAAGGATGAGCAGCTGATATTTCAGTTGTACAATCACCTTTTTGGTAGGAAGCCTACTAAATGTTCCATGTGAAACGTGGATGATATTTATAACCTGAAGTAAAGTTTTAGAGGAAGAAGCAGTCGTGTCTTTGGATGGGTTTTTGTTTCATACTTGTTGCTTTGAAGCGCGTTAGCTGGAACGAAAATGAAGCCAACTCCTACCTATAAGATCCTGCCTATATTAAAAATGAAAACTGGCGTTGGGTACCGCAGGGTGCTTAACAAAAGGCTCTGTTTCCTTCAGCTTGCCCCGAAAACCGATACGGGAAGGACTGCGCCTTGTTCTGTGCGTGCGGTAAAGGTCGGTGCGACCCACGGACTGGCAAGTGTACCTGTCCTCCCGGCCAAATGGGACCCAGCTGTCAGCAAGGTAACAAAGCGGGACCCAAGGTCATCTCGTCAGTTGGGCACGTACTTGTAACAACCAGCAAATAAAACTCAGCGCCAAACATTGTTTGTAGCTGTGTCTCCCAATGCCTTTGCTTGATAACGTTGCAGTTTGCTGTGCTCAGCCCCCATCCCTCTGTGCTCCATCACCCTGCCTTTGTCCTGCTCCTGTCTCCTGCCCACACCTCACTGCTTTGCTCCACCACACTCGGTGCCGTTGCACAGGTTTCTCCACAAAGCTGAAGTGACAGCTTTCAGAGACTGCAGTCCAAACAGAAGATAAAGATGGGGAAAAGGGTAATTTGTGCCACACGTGAGCAGTGCGATGGCGCTGTGGATGGATGGGACTAAATTTAGAAGTAAATTAGTTGAACTGAAAAAGTGAAGGGAGAGGATTTGCTGAAGAGGAGGAGTTGTGAGATGGGGCCAAGGGAGGAGAGCAAGAGGAGTTAATGTGGAGTGAAGCAAATCAGGAGATACGCCGAGATGGAGTATTTGGATGAAACTGCTAATAATAATCATAGAATAGTTTGGGTTGGAAGGGAACTTTAAAGGTCATCTACTCCAACCTCCCTGCAGTGAGCAGGGACATCTTCCACTAGATCAGATTGCTCAGAGCCCTGTCCAACTTGACCTTGAATGTTTCTATGGATGGGGCATCTACCATCTTTCTGGGCAACCTGTTCCAGTGTTTTGTAAATATGGAGTAGAGTCTCCCACAGCCCTCAGGAGACATGAGACACTTGGGATACTCTGTGGGGAGCATGTGTTTGTATTTATTCCCTGTCACCTTCATCCTCTTTTGGGATACTAATTTTTTATTTTTTTTTTCAAACTTTGTTAATTCTCTGTAGTGTGTCCCCAGGGACAATATGGCCCCAACTGCCACCTGACATGTACCTGTCAGAATGGTGGTATCTGTGACCACGTGGATGGCAACTGCACTTGCGGGCTCGGCTGGACAGGAAGATCATGTGAGAAAGGTAATTTTCTCCTTTGGTGATAGTGAACGTGTACATTCAAGCAGGGGTTTGCAGTGCCTACAGACCCACAAAAGGGGACGATTATTGCTTAAATAGACTCTCTCCCAACTGCATTCATCTCTGTAGCTTCTCTCATGCAGAGCTGCCCCTAGTTAGAGCTCTAGGTCTTTTTTCAGAGACAGTTTCTTCATGAGTCCTGGTCTGTAACTCTCACAAATTCCTTTGCACCAACTCTTATTTCTTCTCCTGTCCAACTTTTGTGCTGTTTTGTTTATGGGAATATTGTTTTGTATCTTCTTTCATGTGATCCTCTGAAGTCAGCAGAAGCCAGCATCTCCCACTTCTCATTACGTTCTCTTGTTAATCTCTTCCCTTTGACATTGGATTGCAGTTGAACTTCCCACTCGTTGACTTCTCTGTTAGCACAGTTCTGATGACATCTGTCCAAAGCAATTGAGACTGTCTTGCTATCTCACCCTTACTTCTCCGTGGCAGCCCTCCCATACACAAGACAAAGCACACTTAAACAGAATAAACTCAGTTTTCATTTCAGAAACCCTCCTGCCAGCCCAGATCAGAGTTTTTCCACATCTTTCTGTCCGTCTCCCAAAAGTCATTCTCCATTTCTATGTTCCCATTTCTCTCTCCGGATAAGAGATAGCTGTATAATTTGGAAACCATGAGTTTACTGGTATGATGTCAAATAAATAGTTCTGAGTTCACATTCAAGACAAAGTCATCGTTACATCATAAGTGTCACGGTGCAATCTCCCCAACACGCTCTCAGGCCCTCATTTACAGCCTTCCTGTCCCTGATATCTGTAGAATATCCACCCCAAACTCCATACAGATCTTTAACAAGAACCAGTCTTTATAGAGGAGTGTCCCTATATAAAAGCATCCTATAAAAGTAATGCTTTTTAGCAGAATTCTGTGCAATTGTTTCACTTTACATCTGAGAAGACGCAAGAAACCCACTTGATGCATGCATGTGTGCAGAAAAGAAACTGAGAGAAAAGGAAAGATGCTAAGTACATGGAGCCACTCACAGCGTGACCACCCCTGAAGAATGGTGCTAAAATACTCCCTCTAAAAAAAAGTGCAGTTCACCAATAACTGGCTAACTTCATGTTGCATAGGCCACCTGGATTCATCTCTGTTTCTCTGTTCCTTCAAATCTCTTATGAACATCCGTAGGATGCGTTTGGGTTGCAAAGCCCCAGTAGGGCCATGGAGGTGCCACCATTTGGAGTAGTGGATAGTGGGGGTACCTTAGAGACATGGTTAGGTACAGCATCTCTGGTGGCAAGCATGGGGGTCAGACACGCACACGTCGCATGTGAGGACTGTGTGTTATGTCACCAGAAAGAGCTTTGCTGTTTATCCTTTGGCAGAGAGCGCCAAGTTATTGGAAATTTGAGTCTTGATTTCTGCAGCAGTGGGGTTTTGAGTGTGTTTTGACTAGAAATCAAAGACAGCTAATCAGGCATGCTTTTTCTAGTGATTAGATATGATGTTCTTGAAAGATCTTGTCTGACATTTGCGGAGTTATGAATCTGATTATTTGGCTGGCCACACTCATTTAAGTTGATCTGCCCGGATTCAAATTATCACAGCAGTGGGAAGTTAACTTATGCAGAAATGATGCCTGGGTTAATTATATTGGCACAGTCACTTTTGCATGACTTGGCTTTCAGTAATTTGAGATGTGTTTGGTTCTGTAAAGGCAGATATCTCATTATACATGGGAAGTCTGTTGCTATGTGTGAAAAAGAGATCCTCCTGGTTTTATTAGAAATTGGAATAGTGTGAACTCCAATGATAACACAGAGGAGGAAAAGCGACGTGTTTTCTTTCACACTTTCTAAGTGCCTAAAAGAAAACATTGCTGTAGATATAGGAAAAAAAAATAGAAGATACCATTTATACCATTTAATATGAGGCTTTACAACAGATGGTGTGGGTTCAACATTGACTATATGAAGAGACGAATTAAAAAAGGTGAACTATAAAAAGTACAAGGAAATTACTGTTCAAACATATATATAACATAAAAGATTTCTCATCAAAGTGTGTAAGTCAGTCATAGTTGTGCAGAAACGCTGTGTCTTTGTAACAAGCATTCTGCTTGGCTCTGCAAGTTACAGTATGAGCACTGTATCTCAGATATACGAGTTTTTGTGTAAAAGCTTTGCTGGATGAGGTCAGTGATTTTTTTTTTTTTTTAATTTGTCTGTTTTTCTGCCCGTGTCCTGCCAGCAGAATGTCTCCCAGGGAAGTATGGGTCTGACTGCAGCTTGGACTGCTCGTGCCAGCACGACGGCACTTGCGACAGGTTCACAGGCTGCTGCCGGTGCCCCGAGGGATACTACGGCCACTCCTGTGAGCACAGTAAGTGGGGGCACCATGGACAGCCTGGGCAGCCCATTGGCCAAGTCACAGGACATGGGGCTTCAGAGTAGTCAGGCAAACACCTCACCGGTTCAGTTACAATTTTTGGGATGTCCCAGATCACCCAGCTGCTTCCACATCGGAGTAACTCTGACGCTGGGGTGGTACAAGTTTAAAAGCGCACGGCCTTATTAGAGTTGATGATAAATATTATTAGAGTTAATGATAAATATAATTTTTATTGGCTCCTAGGGAACATAGCTGAGAATACAGAGGATTTTAAAGGGATATATGTTTTCCTTCATAAACCTTCCTCACTTGATGCTTTCGTTTTTCAGGGTGCCCCCTTGGATTTTATGGGTTAGGCTGCCTTCGTGTGTGTGGCTGTAAAAACGGAGCGAGCTGCGACGCAGTGACAGGACAGTGCATTTGTCCTTTGGGTTATCAAGGTGTCCACTGTGAAAAAGGTACTTGTACCCCTCTGATGTAAAAGAACAAACCAGACAAAACCGAAATAAAACTCAAAAAGCCCCATGTCATTACTCAAATATTTGTTTGTTGAGAGCAACTTCTTTCATATTTTGAGCTTTATGAATATCCTGAAACACTGAATTTGGGACTGTTTACCTGTTCTATAGCTGGGTGTTCTCATTTCCCTATAAATTAACTAATCTGGTTTTGATTAATACGGTGAAAGTCCTGGTCTCCGTGATGTCTTGCAGCAATGAGTTCCACATGTTGTTTATTAAAAATAAGTCTCTTTTACTGATTCTAAATTTTCTTCTAAAACTCCAAATAAAATTATTAAATAGGTGCACGTCAGACCTGTTGAGTGTTATGGAATGGTCTTCTAAAGATTTCTAATTAAAAGCAAAAATAAGTGCCAGTTACATTTCTGGGACAGATTTACAGATACCTTTGATAGATTGGATTAGACGAAACCAACACAAAGAGGGTTCATATAAATATTATGCCTATTCTGCTAAGTTAGATTCTTCATTAAACTTGGCATTTACACTAGCTTCAGTGGAGAGTTTATGAGCTTTCCTCGGAGACATCTTGGAAAAACTCCTCTGGCTTAACGTACGTCTTGCCATGCCATTCAAACATGTGTCTAAAAAAGCACTCTCACTGTCAGGCTGCGACAGGGGCTGGTTCGGAGAGAGGTGCCGGCACCGGTGTGACTGCGGAGATGCTCCTTGTGATCCAGAGACTGGGAAGTGCCTTTGCCCACCTGGGAAGACTGGAGACAAATGTGACATGGGTAAGGGTAATGTTTTCTAAGGGCTGGACTATGTATAGTTAAACCATTATGACCTGTTGGTCTAAGCATAAATGTAAAAGGACATTTGCTGGTATTCAAGAACACATTGTTTGTAGCAAATTACTCTTACGGGTTATCAACAGCTTTTCAACAGGCTGTACCTCTGATTTAATCAGTATTTAAATCGATACACCGATAGGAAAATTATTTATGGGTCAGCTGTAAAATGTCATTTGCCTTGAGTTTCGGAGAACACGCACTGGGGAAGAACATACCAAGAAGCCTTCAGTTTTGCAGACATGGTGGAGAAGACTCCAGAGTGTCCAAATGGGCTTGAAGTGATCCGGTGGCCATGTGGTTTATCATATGGACATTTGTGACCCTTTTCAGACCAATGCAAAAGTCTGTCCAGCTCTGTGTTGGCTTCCCTGAGAAGCAGGGAGGAATTCCTGCAGATGAGAGGGTAGCGGACCTGCAGCAGCTATGCCAGCCTCTGAGGGTCAGCAGTAGTCCAGGAACATTTAATCCAAACAAAATTCCCACATTTGCAGCACAGGCACTTGCACTGTGTGTTCGAAAAATGGTTGGCCCATGAGAGCAGGATTATTTTGTAACAAGGGTATAAAAATAGGTGAGAAAATTCTCCCGTAGGGAAAAACCAGTTCCATCGCTGTGCCCTGATGAGATGGTTGCAGGTTGAGAGGCAGCAATGGCAGATGAGATTCTTGAGTCAGACTGATCGCAGTTATGACAGAGTAAATTTAGAGTAATCGCTGGAATAAAGGAATTGCCGCGGTTTAAACAAGTGTAAGGAGAGATTTGTGATCCTAACGCTGTGGTAAACAAGATAAGAGGAGTGAACATCCATATGCTGCTATTGGAGGTCTATACCAGGAGCCATAATCCTCCCAAGCCCCTGAATCACAGCAGAGGAATATTATTTCTCCTTTTGTTCTAGGACGGGGCAGGAATCAGCTTTAAACAGCCTGTTATTGCAAAGTCATTGCTGGGAGCTGAAGTGCCAATGCAACCTGCAAAAGGAAAATGGGGAATACTTTGCTTCCCTCTCCGCGCTGCCCTGCGGTCAGCCATCGGAGCCACCCAGGCTGCAGACGTCAGCCGACACAGCGCTGGGCATCCGGGGCCCTTTCCAGCAAAACTTTAGGCAGAAGCGGAACACGAGGGGGAAGCTCAGCACCGAAAATGTGAACCGAGGTTTTGCTTCTTGCAAACTCTAGGAGTCATTTTTATTTTTCTTAAATCAGTTAGGGTAGCCCCCGTCCATGAAAAGCTGTTACGGGGTAGTTTTTATTTGCATTTTTATTTTCAATTAGGCTCAGTTCATCTGTGATATAACTGTGAGCAGCTGTGACTGTGCAGCGGCCATAAAGATAAAAGGCCTGATTTTAATTTGAACTCTGGTAAAGCACCCATTAAACAGGCAAAATGTTAATTAAAAAAAAAAAAAAGAGAGAATATAACAGACTTTTATGGGTGCTCTTTTTTCTGTAGTAAATTAACATTGCAGACTTTCAAACAGATGTCTTAAATACACATTGTTATTAACATGAAAATGTGGTATTACATAAATTAAAATCAGGTCCAGAGGTGTTCGAGGAGACCTTTTCTCATAACATTTCCTAATTGAAAAGGTCAAGCTCAGCACGCGGGGAGCGTTCTGCCCCGTGTTGGGGCTGCAGCTGATGCAGGGCTCAGCAGCACTTTTATTTACTTTTTATTTACTTTTATTTAATGGTGCCTGTGTGAGAAAGCGAGCGCCTTTGTGATTGAAAGTATTTTCTAGCTAGGCGAGGACGAGAAGGCTATGGTTTACGGTGTGTTTAGCACCCTGCCTTGTGACCTGCTGCTAACTTTTCCTTCGTGCTGTTACTCTGCATTAAAAAAATTGCGATGAGAGTTTATCAGCCCAGGTATGAAACGTATTTATGTTTGGGAGTGAGACATTTCGTGAGTTTAATTTGCCAGGAGGCAGCAGAATTGTGCAATTGGAGTAAGACATAAGAATACATATAAAATGCGTTAATTTTAAATTTCATGTTCTTTGAGTGAAGATTCTTTGCTGGCACACACCAACGTTCACACCGTGCAGTGGAGAAGTGCAGGAGATAACGTGGATCCAGGATGCTGACAGTAACTTTCCTGAGCAGATCCCGAGATCTTTTCTGTTGGGCTGTCAACCCCTGTTTTCACACAAGTAATGATTTCCATTCTGAGAACTTCTTCAGCACAGCTGGGCTACAGTTTGGGCAGACCATGTGGTAGATGAAACTTGAAGACTGCAGGGCTTTCCAAAATGTCATGTTTTAATGTTAACAGATGTAGACGTCTAAGTAGCTTCCTGATCCCGGAGAACAGGGAAACTAGTAGGGAGCATTCACCCTCTTCCAAACACTTCTGTCCTTTCAGAATGCAGGTCAGACCAGTACGGCCCCAACTGCTCCCTGCGATGCCAGTGTGGCAGCAAATCCCAGTGCAATCCGTACAACGGGAACTGCATATGCCCAGCCACGTGGATGGGGTCAACCTGCAAAGAAGGTAAGACAAGCTGGAGCTGTGCAGCCTTTCTTAGTAGAAGAAATCATAGACTCAGATAGTGGTTTGAGTTGGAAGGGACCTTAAAGATCATCTAGTTCCAACTCCTATGGAATGATCCCATGCATTGACCATGGTGGTGGTCAGTGGACCGTTTGGACAGGAGTATCAACCCACCATGCAAACATGGTGCTCAGCAGCAGCCACTACAGTTTCTGTGTTGGGCTGTGTGAGGCAGAAGCCATTCTGCATTTCCATCTCTGGTGAAAAACTCAGAGTCTTTAATAGCGGCAGCTGTGCTTGGAAGGGTTGTGTTGGTGTTTGCTGTCCTCCTAAGGGTCCAGGCACCTAATAGTGCAAGTGCCAGCAGATATTGCAAATGCTAGGAATCATTCCAGGTGGTTGAGATGTCTTGACCAAGCTGAACTGACTCATTACAGTGGTTTCGCCTCAGAGTAGGCTGCAGAGGTCTTGCACAGCCAGCTCAAGGATTCCCGAGGCTGCCTCCAGCACAGCTGTGCTGGAGGGTGGCATGTTCTTCTATCTCTGCCAGTATGAAATCATGCTCTGAAAAAGTTGATACCCACAGACCCTGTAAGATGAAGGAGGAGGTTTACTTGCTCTGTGTGCCATCATGTTCACTTACTTTTTGTAGGGTTGTCAGGTTTTGAAGAGCATGGTGAGATGTGATGAGCCAGATAAGCAGATAAAACATTGGAAAACAGATTTGGATTGATTTGTGAGCGTGCTAAAGCACTCATCACACTATCACAAAAGGGTTTGGGTGGGTTTTTTTTTTTTATTTAGATGATTTCTCTTAATGAGATACAGTACTGAGTGAAAGTTTCCTCCCACTTGTAGTCTAATCACAAGTGGCTTGACGGTGATACCATAAAATTCTGCGTTCAGTTTAGAAAACACTTTGGGAAACTTCCATCTGAGAGATTTTTGATTGTTTTGCCTGCTCTATGACGCTGTGAGGAGGTCGATGTAGCTCAGTCCTCTACCTTCTTTTGTGAAGAGTACCACGTACTGAATTATTGAAGTGTAGATTGTACAATCTATATAATATTTCACTGTTATGTTATGTAGACCTGAAACCATGTTTCTACTTAATTCTCTAGGTGGCCTTCCAAAGCTTCCTTTTTATGAAGAACAAACTCAAGAAAGAGAGAATATTTTTCCAAGGGCTCTACAACAGTAACATTCGGACTAATAAATGAACTGTTTTATATGCACAGACGGTATTTGAATTTGGATATGAAAACAGCTATGCAATTCAGCTTGATTTGTACTGAAGTATTCACACTTCTTATGGAAGACTGCAGAGGCTGTTTAGTAGCTGAATCCTTTTAAAAGGTTGAATCTGTTTCATGTATTTATTCCTAGCCTCTTACCCCTCCATTAACATGCCAGGACATTCTTTCTGATATATAATATAATTCATTGTTTGAAAGCTTGGACATGTTTTCAGTAAGACCAGCTCCAAAGAATATCAGGATAAGCAATATGTAACAAATCAACGTGCAGCGAGCCACACCACGTATAAGTGACTTTCTAAACCCACTTGACAGCCAGTGTTAACGAGCATTTCACGGATTATGAAGCCGATATGGATTCACTGCAAAGTCACATTGCACAGAAACTACTGGGATTGACCAAATTAATTCCTCTTTGAATAACATTGTGTGTTCTAGGAAAGCATTCATTCTAATTTTAAACTCACAACTGAAGAATGCCCCACAGTCCTCGATAAGTTGTTAATTAATTTGAGAATACATACCACACTTCTAGTGTGGATTGACTGATTGGAAGGTCTCCGTTTATATCTGAATCCGTCTTCCAAAGAGCATGGCGTCATCTCTCAGACTCTTCTGGCTTTCTGCATTCTTCTGTCTTGTCAGTTGAGTTTTTCAGTGGTTTGTCAAGTCAAACTGTGCAACAGTTCTCATAAAACTCTTTTCTGTATTTGAAGGTACTGTTTGATCTTGGATGGAGAAAGCAGATAGTAAGCAAAGATAGATGTTTAGAGGTAATCTCTGTGTTCTTTATATAAAGGATTATAATGTGCTTTTACTTGGCACAATGGTTTGATTAAGTCAGCTTTAAAAAGTCTCGATACCATTCAACAGCTGCTATTGGTCACTTGATAGAACCAAGACACATTTTGGTGCTATTTTGTCTGTTTAGACAGATTGTTCTTTAATATAGGACTATGTCGTTATGAAGAAATAACGTTCTCTATTTTAATATTCTGAGTTAACCAGATTGAAATATTTCAGAGTGCCTTTTTATACCTCTCTTTAGGTTAGGAGTTACAAAATCTCTCGAGTCTGACTGTACCAAAAGTGCACTTACTAAAGAGCATCAGCAGACTTGGTAGTACAGGCAGTTCCAGGTCTTGTGTTCGTACTGCCGTCGCACACCGTAACAAATTGCAACTCTGCAAGAGAAGATTTTTGCCTTAGAAGAGGCAAAGTGACTATAACTGATGACAGCTTGTGATTTTAAACATGTTGTTTATTGTTGCGGTTGGATAATGAGTAGGTGAAGCAACGGTTTTACCCCATGGTTCACCTCGGGTCTTAAACACATCTGCAGTCAGTAACTGTCCATACAAAGCAAGTGACACCTGCTCACCTGGGAGTTTAATTCAAACTGTGATCTGTTGGAAGCAATACAGGCTTAGCAGGTGTATTTCAAGCTTCATTGAAGTCTTATTGTTGTTATCATTGCTTCATAGGTATTGGAATTCATCCTAAGCACAGTAAGATATTTGTGAATGTGTCAAAATTAATTAACCGATTGTGCTTTCAGCCAGAAAATCACAGGGGCTGATCTCTTGTCATTTCTTCTTTAGAGCTCTATGAATGTCACTGGAAAGTTTACTCAGTCTAAATGTGACAAAATTGTTGTTGTCCCAAAACTAGGGAGAAGTGTGTGGCTCTCAGCAGGGCTTTGCTATCAGCTGTGACATTTTAAATGTTCTTTTGGAGATGTGATGGCCTGGGTCTGATCCTACAATTATGTGAATTTGGGGCAATTTCTCTGAACTGGAACTGATAAATTAATCCTGTGTGAGACAGATAGATATAATCTTAGCAACTGCTGGAGAAGAATGATCCAAGTTAAGCAATTGTTGTATTTTGATCTTAACTATCTATTTACAGCAGAGCCAAAGTACGATAGTAATGCAAGCATCGCATTATATTTAAAATTTTTCATAGAATCATAGAGTTAGTTAAGTTGTAAGAGACCTCTGGAGGTCCAGGCTTCTCTTCAAAGCCTGGTCAACTTCAAAGTTAAATGGAGTTGCTCAGAGAGTCATCCAGTTGAGTTCTGAATGTCTCCAAGCATGGAGATCCCACCACCTCTTTGAGCCCCTGTCCCAGTGAAAATTTCATGCTCAGGATTTTTTTTTCCTAGTCTCTAATAGAATTTCCCGAGTTTCAACCTCTGTCTACCGCTTCTCATCCTTTCAATGTGTGTCTCTGAGAAGTGTTTGGCTTCATTTCATCTACAGCCCCCATGGGGTAGTTGGAGACAGCACTAATACCTCCCCTTGATCTTCTCTTCTGAAGCCTGAGCAAGCCCTGCTCCCTCAGACCCAACTGTATCAGCCCCAATGACCTCAGTGACCATCCACTGGCCCCGTTCCAGTACGTTGGACACTTCAGTTTCGGGAAAGATGCCCAATGACTGGTGTGGTTACTCAGCAGTTAATGCATAAAACTCAAGAACTTAGATTTTGCGGTTTGACATCAGTTTATAAAATATACTGGGTTTTTTTTCTTATCTATGTATACTGAGATGTGATTAGAGCAGCTAATGAAAGGGGATACCTTTCTCAAGCCATATTATTTACACTTGTGTATACTTGTTTACATTTTCCACAGTACCTTGATAATAGAATTGTAAATATGTAGTATAAAAAAGATTTTTGTATTAAGTATTTTTAAAGGATGTCACAATTTTAGGTTCATGATGAAACACATTTTAAGTGACTGATACTGAGCCTGTGCCAATGAATTAAGAAGCCCAGGTAGATCTGCCTGGGAAATATTTGAGCAAACTTTTCTAAATCAGAAAATGCCAATTCATACAAAACCATTCACATGCAATAGTCTTTTTTTATTCATTCCTCTTTCAAAATACTTCTTTGCTTCTTTATGTTATTGCCTTGAGGAAAGAAGTTCACTTCAGTGCCATTAAACAGATCGTTCTGTTTTGGGGCTCAATATGACTTTTTGTTCCAGAACAAAGTACAGTCATATAAAGGCAAAAATCAAAATCTAATATTTCAAAAATACTAAAAGGTGAATTTTGATTGGGGTAGTTTTGAATATCTCTTCTTGCTTCTCTATTTGTGAAGGTTTTCACTTTTTTCCCAAGGCAGGGAAAGTGTTTACAGGATGTATTTTTCTAGAAGAGCCAAAGCTTCACATCATTAGCTATTAATTAAGGAAGTTTACGTGCTTGTGATGTCATTAATATGTTTTGATTCTGCTCCTTACTGCAGATGAACAAATTTACCTAATTCCGTGCCTACAAAATAGTCTTTATTAGACAGCATGGACTTTTTTAATGGAAAAACTACTGAATCAGCTTTTCCATAGATTAATTTTGTGGCAAGTAAGTGTAATTGCTACTAAAATAATATAACTCTGCTTATTTGCTTCATCAGATTCCAGTGAAAGACTATCAGGCTGATACTGTCCTGAACATAGCACTGGAGCTAGTTGAAAATGAAAGTGAAAACTTCAGGGAAAATGGTTTTTATATTTAAATTTATGTCCATCTTCCACTTGGTAAGTGCCTTTCTTGGCTCTCTGTTTCCCAGAGGGCTGAAATTAATTATGTTTCTTGAAAAGAACGCTCTGTGTATTCCACTGTAACACACTTGTATGCACAGATAACTCCTTTCAGAAAGGCATTTAAATCATTTTGACCGTGCAGTTTCTGTGCCAAATCCCACTCTCTTACCTTGTTGTGTATTCCAGATAACTTCAGTTTGAGAAGAGTGGAAATGAGTTGAGTGTAACTCAGTGAGTCCAGCAGAATCTTACTCAATGTGAATTCATAAAACCAGAACAACATGTTTTAAGTTAGACTTCAGTATTTATAACACTATCCTCCTAGGAAAACAATCAGAATTTTAAAAATTCTCCGCTTCCCCTGCCAAAAATTATTATTCTACTTTTATCCTTTTTATGTTGAAGAACCGTAGCTATTAAAGTTTGCCCAGATTTCTTGCCAACCATATTATTTTGATTGGCTGCAGATTTCTGTTTGTGTAAGTAATAACCATCATAGTATCAGGAGTTGCCAACGGGACAAACATGGAAATTATACCTTTATGTCCTTCCCAGAAGAGCCAAAGACACATTTTGAAGCCATACTGTTGATCTGACAGTGACAAATAGTAACGATTCTGTTAGAGTTTATCTTCTTATCAAAGCAAAGAAAAGCTTAGGAAGGGTCCTTGAGAGAACTGGTGGACCAAGAAACCTCCGTCCTTGCATCCCTGTGATAATTTTTTTTTATGCAGTTAGGTCAGAAGCCTTCTCAGACTCCAGTTCTTGAAGGACTTTTCCTGCACATTGCCCTGTGGCTGACCGCAGCAGCTCCATGCGTGAGCCGTGACCGTGCCCAGTAATTCTTTTGTGGGGTCAAAGCTTTAAATTCTAACACTGTTTAAAGTCATTTCCAGCGGTAAACGACGAATCTCAAACTTATAGAGCATAAATTGTTTATTCCGTTCTTTTTATTGCTTTTAATAAGCACTTGCATAGCAATATTATTTCTTTGTGAATTTATAACCCCTCTTCAATGAATATGTGAACTGTACTGTACTTTCTGTTGTACAAGTATCATAGTGAAAGGATACTGATTTTTTTTATATATATAAATATGCCTTTAAAACTTGTTCTTGTTTTCTCCTCATTGACAGTCTTAAAGCAATAGGCTTGTGTTATGGATGAAACTTTACTCTGTTAAACTAATTCATGTTCTGAGCAAACACACTGGGTTCACACCTGCTTTTAGTAGTTTGTGTAGAATAAATAATGGCCTATACATAAATGGGCTTATATATGATCCCTGACCAGAGCAACTTGTCCAATGACCAAGCCTGATAAATAGAGGTTTCTGGCACTCGGACTCCAGAGTGTTAGAAATATTAAAAATGCAGCATAAATCTTACTG